TGTAAAACGGTATGTAAATATACTTATTATAATAATATATAGCTGCATCTGTGATTTGATTGTAAATCGTGAGGTAAGGAGTCTGTATGAAGGGCGCGATCGATTCGAAAAACATTTCGATTTTCCTCGGATACGAAGTCTATACGGAAGTTTTCAATAATTTAAAAACTAATTAAACAACGGCATCGTCTATTTACAATCGTACGAAAATGATTCATTTAATTCTATACCGTGCAAAAAATTATTAAATCGTTACGCCATGAATTACGAGCGGAAAGAATAACTCTAACGTATAAATAAATATTCGATCAATTTACAGATGTGGAAGGGACGAAAATTTCAGTAATAATTGAAACAATAATCTGTGTCTGTCATACTAAGTATTTGAATGCATGTTAAATTATTGAAAATTCTAGACTCTGTATATCGCGAAAAATTTATCGAGCCCATCGCGCTCACAGAACTATTGTCATCTGTAAAATATAATATAAAAGATCCTGAGTTGTACTGTGTGGTACTATGGCTATGGAGTTCGGCAATGTCCGAGATGGCTCTATCTTTTCTCTTTGTACTGTCAAAGAAATATATGTAAATTGCTTCAAAAATTTTTGTCGGAAATAAATACTAATTTACGTTGCACAATCATTGATTGTATTCGTAAGACTTTTAGGATACTGGTAAACAAAGTTGTTTAATCCGCGTATAAAAACTGATGCGACCTGCAGGACGTAGCCACCTTTGCTACATGTGTATCCAATGTTAACCAGTACCTTAAAATATCACTATTCTGTACGTATAAAAAATATTCTCAAAAACCAAGAAAATTTAAAAAAAAAGAAATAACAATAAAACAATGGAAAAGTAATGAAGACTTCCATTTAATTAAAAATAATTAAATCTGTTTTAGATAGAACCGTTAGAATTTGGAAGAAAATAATGTATCCAACATCGTTACAATACTTAATAAATTATATTTATAAAATAATACTCTTTATCTCAAATGTAGACACATTAATAATCTTTTATCCGTGTCTTGATATTACCGAAAATAAAACTAAACAAATTAAAATAATAGTAATACTGTTTATAATCAGTTCTTTTTTCAGAAAAAAATAAAATAAAAATATTTTGGAAACTAGTAACAAAAACCATTTTGTTATTGCGAAATTAATATTGTAACAGCGGAAACGAGAAAAAAAACAATGTAATACAAAATAGTAAAAATGTAAATAGATTGCGAAAAAAAAAAAAAATTAAAATTCATCAAAGAAAAGAAAATTTAACTATGTTTAATGTACTGGTGTTGAGAAAAAATTATTAATTGAGCTCTGTAATATCACATTAGAGCATTGTAAAAGAGTTCATAAGAAAAGCCACCTCGGACACGAGCCTCTTATAATATATTAATTTCAATATGTTGTATCACGGTGGTTTCCCATCGATAACTGTCAATAATAAATCCTCTGTAAATCTGCTTGAGCTGTAAAATCGGTTGGCTGTCTATCGCACCGTTAAACTGCTACGTGGTGAAAAATATATTATAATATGTTCGTACGTCATCCTGGGAGTTTCTGTGCGTGTCACCCAGTCGTGTGACGTAATCAATAAAGTAAATATAATCCTCTGTAAGAATATAATATCGTTGTAAATATCTGTAGTTTATATAACACTGTATAGCATCAAATAAAACAACAAGTTATCCTGGCTCGCGGAATAATCATTACGAGATGGGATGGCTGCTCCACTTGCGGCAATTGTTTGTAGTTTCTTTCATATTTTGTTTAAGGAATATCTCTCGCTTCTCCTTATGACGACGAATAGGCACGGCACCTTTTGCGAGTTGTCCTTCAAGGACTTTCATTTTATCAGTTACTGTAAGATGCTGCAAAAAGATTATTCTTTTGAGCAAAGTGCTGCAAGGATCTTTCAATAAAATTAAAACACGATTACTTTAAAAATTGTAAGAATATAAATGAAATTATATAAGACTGTAATTGCATTTCTATTGATTTTTTTTTTACTAAAAGTTACTTTAAAAACATAACTGTATATTAGTCACTTGCTGTTGCAAGTGAGAAAGTCTTATATCATACTCTTATTTTAAATAAAAGAATATAAATATTGCAACTTTACATTCATGAAAACGTCCATGAAATTAAACTTTTAATTTCGCAAAAATAATATAGGATATAAAGAACATATTTACGCGTAGTTAATAGAAGCCAAACTTTGTTTTTGTACTAAGAATTCTATTAAATTCTTAATAATTTCCATTGCAGCACCAACTCTTAAATCTTTTTACTGCATCTTGGTCTTTTGTTAAAAGATCGTGTTCAACTCCATTTGCAGTTTACGTCTGCCAGAAATTGCTGGTATTAATCCTACTCAACCAAAATACTATCACAAATGGGCCGAAAAAACTAAGGCGCATTAGTGGTATGTTGCATCGAACTGCATCACACTGCTCTGGAAGTGCTTTGATTCGACACTGGTCTGATTGACCTCGTAAGCACCATCTTGGAATGCTCTTGATTTGTTTTCCAGACTCACTGCAGCTGTACCCTCCTCCGTTGGGACTCTGGGCACAGGGAAGGATTTGACATTATCTGTTTGTTGTGTCTGAATTTGTAGATGTGCTCCTGTTTGCTGTTGAGCTTTTGGCTGCTGCTGTTGGTAGATTTCTTCTTGACGATGCCTGTCTGTGACGCTGAGCTCATGAAAGCTGACCAGGTGGCGCTTCAGGTAGAGCTTGGTCTTGAATGGCTTGTTACAAAGGGGGCATGTGACACTCTGAGGGTTGTGGATCAGGCGCATGTGCTGACGCAGGTTCGACAAGTTACTGTACATGCGGTTGCAGACAGGACAGGGGCGTGGGTCCAGCGAGTGCAGTTTGCGTAGGTCAGCTGCAACACACACACAACTTGCTCTAACCCGGTAGAGGCAGCACGGAGAAGGGAGTTAATCTTTTTTTTCTTTCTTTTCTTTTACTGAATGGATTTATGGATGGTGTCTCCGATTTGCCAACCACCACCGGACAGCAACAACCAGCTGAGAAACCCTAGCTGCACGATTGTTGTACGCTTTATCTAGCTTAGCAATGAGATCACTCTTAAATCTTAATTAAATTACTCGTGTTAAACAAGTTAGTAACATTTAAAATCTATTTTCATTTACTTCGTTCACTTTCAATCGATAAAAATCATTATTTATTACATTTTATTATTATACAATATATCATTGTATGAAAATTACTTTTGAAATACTTAACATTACCAATTCTATTTTTAATATGTGTTAATGCTCCATAAAATTTCATATATTATTATTCAAATTCAGTTCATGATAATTTAAAGAACTTCTTCATAATGTCAATCTAAGAAGTTGTTTAAATCTAATCAGTCTAATACTAAATTTGTTTTAAAAATCATTACATAATTTTCTCAGCATTTTAATTTTTCAATGCAACAGATTATTTAAGATTCAACAAATAGTATTGGTTGATCCCATTGCTACACATTTTGCGCACCACGATATCGCGCATCACCAACGCACACACATCGGAGACAAATGGTAAGCGTGTTGTTATTGGGTACATGAGGCGTGAGAGTTCGCGCTTATTCTCCGTAATTATTCTACAATTATTTCTCGACAATAACACCCTTTTGCATTTATAAATTTCCGCTTGAGACTTACAATCTAATTATCTAAAATCTTTTATAGTTATTATGATTATTGTACGTTAAGTTATAATAACAACTAATGATCACAAATAGATAATACTTTCTTAATATAACTTTTGCTTTCCCTTTATTCTTTATAAATTATAGTAAATGGTAATATAATAATACTTAAAAATTCAAATTTAAATAGTTTCTATTCTACTGAGTTAATTAAAATCCCATAATTAAAATTAAAAAGTAATATACACATTATGCTCTAACCAAGTATTTAAAAAATATCATTTTTAAATAGTACAGATTCATACCAAGATATCAAAATTAAAAGTAGTTCGATTCTCTGAAGTTTAAGTTTCTATTATTAAATACTTCATATATCTACCTTATAACATGGTATGATACGATTAGTAAAGCCAAGGGTATTAATTTTTTTAATTACAACACTGTAATAAAACATGGACCTCAACCAAAAAGCTTACAATGAAATTTAGCATCAAACAATTGCTTTGCTAAACATGTCAAATTAGGGTGTTCTACCGTGAGATATACATGGACACAGAAAAAACAACGCCAATTAGATAAAATACTAACGTTCTAAAAACTTAATATAAGTTAATATAATTTGAAAAACATTTCTTGATGTGGAAATTAAAAAATTAAAACTGTTTAATTTCCAATTGGCGTAGCTTCGAACGGACAAAAACGGAAAACGTGGAAGCAACGGACAGGCAGGTTTACCAGACGGAGGGATTTATTTGTCTAAATTTAAAAAAATCGATTTTCATTTCCTCTCTCTTCCTAAACTACTTTCATCTTTTGGATTCGTGGGGCTATTTAATTAACATAACTTTAAGAAAGTAAATAAATCATATTTACTTCAAAAGTGAACCGTAAAAGAACCCAATTTGTGCTAAACATTCTCTATAATTATTATTTAACAAATTAGAACTTTACAACCTCGCCTCCAACTCTGGCAAACAAATGGACAGGAAGAGCCCGAGTATGTACACGCAGCTGACTTTCTCACACAACAGCTGCAAACTGCACTCCGCCTGGATAAAATCATCAAAAGATCGCCTCCGAGTGTCAAATGTCTCTCGCTCTCTCTCGCTCTCTCTCTCGCTCACTCTTTTTCTCTCCTACCGCCTAGCAAGAGCTACCGAGCTACACGAGCTTACCATTTCAAACCGAGGCTCCCCTTCTCCTTCCATGTTTCTACTCGCATCCAAAAAATTCTCTCCGACATGATCGGCTAGGTTGTTGCTGTTTGTAATGGTGCTCGCAACTACCAAAGAATTAGGGTTGGGATGGGTGACCACTTACCTTGTTGCTCTTGATTTAGCTCCGTATTGCTAGTATGAGATGGCCCTGGCAGTCCACCTTCTAATGGTCCACCACCCCCGCCACCGCCTCCTCCGCCTGCCCCTCCTCCTCCTCCTCCTCCTCCTAAAAGAATAATTTATAATTAGAGATCATTTTATCAGAAATGTACCTGCTACTTCTTTGTTAATGACATTATTTTTCTTGTTTAAGGAAGTATTTTTTTTCGGGTCAAAAAAATCTTTCGAAACATAAAGTAAGCTGTGCACAAGTAGAAAACGACTTCAAATTAGAAATAAGAAACACCATACATCGATTTATTTGCTATGTTATAATTTCAATATATTATAATATATAATAGCTAATAAAGTAATTAACTAATTGTGTTAACATTTTATACAGATGTTCAAAAAACATTATTTCACAGCTCGAACTAGAAATATAAAAATATTTTTCATAGTTTTTTATAATGATAGATTGAAGTTAAAAAAATGTTTTGAAAAATCAATATTCTTCGCGTTATACGCCGCCATTTTGTTGTATCCCGTGTCTTTTAATGATTGAAGTCTGTGCTATTTAAAACTAATTTTGAATTATTTATTTCCGACCAAATGGATGATTACATTAATTCTTTTTATAATTATAAATTAAAATACTTTGTAAATTCTTGAAAGAAAAAAGAAAAACAATCGAAAGTATTATCTTTTTTGATACGAAAAAAAATAAATACTCCCTTCAAGTTGAAAATTATTTGTATCAAGAAACATTTCTTTTAACAGTTTGTTTAAAGAATGACTTAGAATTGTGGAAATGATTTTAATACATAAAATAGTTAAACATTAAACAATTACCTTGGTAAGAAGGTGGATATGATGGCAAAACTTCCATGCCACCATCAAGACTAAGGAAACCACTTGGCAGTGTGTTAACCTCCTGCTTTGGAGAACAGTCATCGTCGCTTCCATACTCTGGTAATTCTATTTTTGGCTAAAGCATACAAAATATCATAATTTTCTTTCTATAAATGAAAGTTATATCTTCAATTTTTGTTAATTAATTTTTAACAACAATATAAATTCTCTATCTGTCATACCAAAAATACAGAATATTTTATACAAAATTATAAAACTACAAAAGGGGAAACTAACCTCAACATTATCGAGATCTTTGTAACAGTCGAGCTGAACTTGTGGCTCGATTAATGGCCGTGTGCATGGTGGTCCAGTTGTACAGGCCACCGCAGCTGGTACAGGACTAGATATTTGTGGCGAATCACTTCGTTTGCACAGCCTTTTCAGTGGTGGAGGACTCGAGGCTGGTGATGTTTTACTGTGGTCCTCCTCCAAACTTGGTGAGATCAGCCCATGACCATTTGATGCATATATGTTACTTCTTTTCAAATGCTGAAATAAACCATTAAAAATCATATTGATGAAACATTTGCAAATACAAATGGGACGAATATTCAATTAAATTAAAAGAATTTTTGTATTTTAATTAATTTTCAAATACAAACCTTTTCGTTGTTGTGCTGAATATTTTGAGAGTCGGTAAGTCCACGGATTTGCAGAGACTCAGCAGTACGTAGAAATGTAGGCAATTCTGCTTGAGATATGTTTACCTCTCCAGCATACATGAACTCCAAAAGTGACTGTAGATGTTCAAACTCCACATCACGCATAAATATTATTGGATGCTTGCATGGATTCGTCTATGAGCATACATTTATGCAATATATTTTATGTAATTAACACATCTTTCTAATACAAGTAAAAATGAAACATTCCATTATTTCTATGTACAAGAAATTCTTAAACTAGGAATTTAGTTTCACAAATGTTTTAACACTGAGTTACAATCTTTCAAACTGTTATATTAAAGGAAATATTTATAATATAAAACTTCAAAGGATTGTTACCTGGTATTATAAAGCCTTTATAAAACTATGATTGTATGACATTCTTTATCACTATGAGTAGAATACTCTCCTAAAGTTTGATCTCCATATTTCAGGAACACTCAATGTATAGAGACAAACTAGTCTCATAATATTTAAATTTAATATTTATTTTAATAGCAAAACTTTTTCAACTTAATTTTACTTTATAATTAAAATTGTATACATTATTATGAAATTTATTAATAGTAATAACACAAATTTTATAGAATTGAATAAACAATTATAATAAAATAATAATAAAAATCTTATTCAAAATATAATAAAAAGAAATATTTTAAACATACACAATCATCTAAAAATCCACACAAATGAAGATCAATGAATATGATACTAATAAAAGTACTTCGATCAACTCAAAATTAACAATTATGTAGATAAACCTTTTTAACAGTAACCACTAGACAATAAGTTTGGGGATGAGCTAACAAAACATTTATGGTAGATAATTTTAAAACTATAAAATGTGGCTCTGTTTCAATTATGATCAATGCATTTTTCAACAGCCTAGGAAATTAAAAGTTTAGTCTTAGTAAACTTAACTGTTTTATTAGGAAATTTATTAATGTTAGTGCAATGCATACAACTTATTGTTTGTTGGCAAGAAAACAGTTACAAAATAATTAATTGTATAAAAAAAATTAAACACTAATTCAAGTAAAATACAATTCAAATACAAAGCAAAAATTGTACCAAAATTGTTTAAAGAAAGTAATATTAATACTGCAATGATTCTTGCTAAGCCTAGATTTGTCTTTTTGATGATTGTTTTTGTTTCTTTGATTAAAAACTTTATTTCAAGAAAAAAGGATACCCCATAATTATTTCAAATACATTTATATAGTCCAGAAGTATACATTGTATACAACTGAAGGATTACTTCATTACCTAGTTTGAATATTTTGTATTTCATAATTTTGTGCTATAGTTATTGAATTTCTATAGCTTATATAAAGGTAATATGTTGAAGATACTTTGCAATTGAAATCTATAACAATTCACGAGTTTGAAGTGAACTTAAACTATGAATAAGTATAGATAAATAAACAAGTAAAGTGGTACAGCAAGTATCCTTAATGCACAACATATATGAGGCTTCAGAGAATATTACACATACATATACATGAAGTCACACATACATTCGCAATTGCATGAGAATTTTGAGTAAATACTGCAATTTCATCTGCATCTAAACCAAAGCATGATTCTCAAAGAATGTAAGAATGGCTGCGGAGAAGAGAGGGGAGGGGGAATATCAGGCAACTAGCACTGAAGAGAGAAGCAAGGCGGGGAAGGTTTTCTAACCTTGAACAACTCCTTGAAGTAAGGGCTGCACGCGGAGAGGACAACCTTGTGCGCCTGGAGACGCCTACCATCGCAGGCGAAGGTGACATCAACAAAGTCCTCGTCATTCCTGAGGGCCTCGAATTGGCTGGTGATATTAGCTTGAAAGTTGTTCCAACGCAAGCAAAACTGCTGCTGGCTATCCGTCATTCTCCTCGCTCGACTCCCTTCGACCTCCTCTGTCTCCCTCACTCTTAACCTAAGAGCCCCCCACCACCCACCCTCTAGCCGTCTCTCTTTTACTTTCACCTTCTTCTATTTCTATCCCTCTCCCTCTTTCTCTTTCTTACTGGCGGCAACGCTGTTCTTTCTTCGTCACACACTTCGACTTTTCGAGTATATCTTTCTGTATTTTTTTCTTGCAGGAGACACTTTAAGAATTTTTGAAAAATAATGAATATGGAAGATTCATCGAGACGAAGAGGGTGAGGGTGGCTTCGCAGGTTAGGATAGCCTGTTTTAATCCACCCTCGAGCTAGTGGTTTGAGATGAGGCTCCCATTACTCTGCAAAAAAATGGCAGGTGCAAAAAGTGCAATCGATGACTGAAGAGGAAATGTGTGCGTGGGGAGAATCGATAGACGGCTTACCAACGTTCGAGAGAGAAATAAAGTAAATTTTCCATGTATAGAACTTTTTGTTAATTCTTTAATAAAAGTTCAGCGTTATACTTACTTCGATTAAATAAACAGAAACTGATTTATCATTCTTTTAATTACATTTGAAATCACACAATAAAAAAAAATCACGTTCTCTTTTCTAGAAAAATATTTCATCTTATTAAGTTACTAGGATTCTATTTAACAAGGAGAGTCTATAACTGATGCCAAAGATTTTAATTACATTTGAAAGGGCAAATCTAGAGATTGACATGACATTCTGCTGAATATTGCATTCTAATGTACAATACAATCTTGTAAACAATTAAGATTTAAGCACAAACATCTTCAAATTTAACTACTTTACAAAAACGTATACTGAGAAGTGCGATGAGTGACTATTGAGTAAAACGATCCAAAATACGATTCTAGTTGTCCACGTTTCACGACTGAACCATAGAGTATTTGGATCAAGATGAAACTCTTTTGTTTTTCGTAGTTCCGAAAACTGGATTCTGATGCACTATTAAAAATCGATGTTACCGGTTTTTTGCAGCAGATATCTCGAAAGAAACTGGAGAAATAGTGTAAAGCGCGGCAATATTTAGAACTAAATATTATAAAATACAATTTATTTTTACTAGTTCATTATCAAATGATGTAATGAAATTTTTTTTTATTTCAATACTTTCTTTCTCTCTAAAAAAGAGCTATAAAAGGGATTAGTGGGATGCTGTATAAAGCGAGTTTCAAATCTGGTGGTTTTTTACTTGATCGGCAATTCAGTTTGTGAGACAAAAAGTCTCATGCATTAAACAGTCTACGCTACACCTCGTTTATGGTTTAACGAAAACATCGACGCTGATTAATTCTATAGATTTTTCCTAAAATGAAAACGAATTTACCCGAATTCAACGTAATTTAGTCATTTTTGATTTTCTAAAAGTAACAAATAAGAAATGTGTATGTTTAAATTCGCTCCACTCTGGCCCCTCGTCCCTATATTACGAATAATTAGTTACTAGATACTAAGTAACTAGATTACGGAAACCGCTCGCAATATCATAAAATATTATAACAATTATGTTCATTCACTAATAATTATTATATTCGATCGCTAAATATAATATTTAATCTTATTCATGTATTAATCGTTATGTTTACCCATTGTTAATTATTATATTCATTTAGGTCTTGTAAAAATTCAAAAAATTGGTTAATTAATGTAATAGAGTTTAAGCACGCGTAGGATTAAGAAATATAGATTTTATATACCTTTGAAGCGAGCTGGACGTGGGATATTAGCCGAGCGTGTTTGCCAATAAACAAATCGAAGAATGTTATCTACATCCGGCGTAGGTGACCGGAGGAGCATGAGAACGCTCCTGGGCGCGAAGTCTCAGCCAGTGATACTCGGGAATACCTGGTATTCCAGGAAGACTGGAGCACAGGGGAAGGTCTCCATCTCCTTTGATTACTCAAAATTTAACGAGATAATATATATAAATTAGAGTTATTATCCAGTGGGTTATTGAGCGTCGAAGCCCGTCCACAATATTTAAAAGAATATTCAAGGACCACAGAATATCCTACTATTCTACTAGGCTGCTGAGCGTCGAAGCCCGCTTGGGAAAATAGTAGCGAATCGTCATACTCGTAAAATTTAAATGCCTAAGAGAACCTGTCGCTCCGGTCATCGCCAACAAATTTGCTGTCTCGCAATCCTTTTAAATCAACCAGCACCCGCAGCACACAATTACTCAGAGTTCGGGCTCCGCCAATCGAAATCGAGACTTCCACCGCCAACCCGCAACGCAGCCTTGCCGCAGAAGAAGCGACACCTCCCCCGTGGCGGCTCATCACAATAGAGATGCCACCCCAATAGCCCCGAGGGCGATCCACGGCGGCAGCGCTACGAGGAATACCTTCGCCAGATCGGCACGCCACCCCCGGAGGAATAGTAAACCAAGTAAGTCTAGGGAAATTCTTTCTCACCAACGCCGACGGATTCCGGACGTAACAATTGAATTATTATTTTGTAAAGATTTTAAACAGTAATGATTTGAAGATGAATTTATTCTCTCGCAAACAGGGACTGTTACAAATGTACATAGCTATTTACTATTTCATTACAGTTCTTTAATGTCTAATTTTTTCAAATTTTGTATTATTAAATTAATATAATTTGCTTTTTATTATAGTTATTTTAGAAAAACGGCACAATAAATTGATATAATTTTTGCTAATACTATAATTCATCATTTCCATTTTAAACCAAGTATTGCGCAAAACGGTAAAGTGAAAACTTAATAATTATATGGAACTTTTAAAATATACAATAAGAAAAAACAAAACGTTTCGACGTGTATTCTGTTTATTATTATAATATTAAAGAATATAGTAGAAAATCGTTTATTTATATACGCGAGACTGTTGAATCTTACATGAAAATACAATTAAATACTTTCGGTCGAATAGGTAGCATTTCGAAGTTACTATAGAATCGATAAAGAAGTTCAGAATGGAAGCCAGTCATAAACAGCTTATTTATCTTCCTAATAATCGTTCGCGCCGACTATTTTCGACACAGAAAAAATCATCCTGAAGCATTGGAGTGGGTACTATCGAAATTTCGTTTTAATTCCAATTTTGTTGGGGTACCGAGTATACTTGTATTTTCCGTGAAATATATTGTCATCAGCTTATCTTCTGTCGCCGAGGACTTAACCTTAAGTAGTATCGAAGTAATATTAATAGAAAATTTTGTATTTTAATTATCATGCGAACAAATACAATTGCATGATAGTACTTTTAGTAACTATGAAATTCATGGTACAAAAGGAAATTTGATTGTTCAATAAAAAATCGACGTGTTGATAAACAATTGTAACTTTGTTATCTTAGTTGCAGATGATCAATGTTGGAAGGATGGTATTGTCGTTCAATTGCAAACAACAATGCAGATGCAGAAGACGATGACGAGGACAGTCCAGAGGAAGAAGTGCCTAATTACAAGGATCAGTATCGAAATCTTAAGAGGAAGTTAAAATTTCTAATTTATGTATGTACATTTGTATGTAATGTATCCAAACCCTATACATATTTAAAACGTGTTTTATTCATTTATTTTTTTTTTTTTTCATTTGTATTAAATAACTATATGATTATTTTAGGAAAATGAGTGTTTCCAAGAAGCTTTACGGTCTACACAAAGGAAATTGCTTAAAGTTAATAGGGACAAAAGTTTTTTACTGGATCGATTATTGCAATATGAAAAGGTAGATGCATCGTTTAGCGAAAGTGATGAAACAGAATCATCGGATGAAGAAGTCCCTCGTCTTGATACTTCTAAAAGGTAATTAGAATTAATAATACTCCCTTCTTATTAAAAGAAATATTTACTGATGGAATATGTATTTTTTTCAAGGAAAAAAATAGAGATGGGCATTAGTAATCATACCTCGCATCATATACCGACAGTGACAAAACCTTTTAACACCAGTAAAAAGAAAAAACCTACTCCAAAAGTGGCAAAATCAAACAATACACCCATGGTATGTAATTCTTTTGAGTAATAACTAGTAATGGTGGTAAAATTTTTATATTCTTATAGGTACAATCATCCAATAACATAGTACCAATGTCTTTAATGTCTGATGGTCATATGACGCCAGAAGAAGTAGAAAGACATTTAGAGTCTCGTCAAACTTACTTGGAACTTGTACCCGAAAAAGCACCGCCTACAGTTCCGACGGAAATGTTTAGCAATGATCCCTCATTGGATAGGTAAACAGTTCACTTGCTTATTGTACAGTAAGTAGTTAACGATCGTACAATACGCGCGATTTATATTGCAGTGAGTCAAACGAAATCTGTGAATTAGAGACGTCTCCGAGCAATATGGGCGAAGATTGCCTCAGCGTAGATATGATGGCTGAGTGACAAACATTAGTTCATAGTTTAGTGATTAATTACAAATTGCACATAATTACATATTGCGTTAATATTACCATATTCGGCTAACTTAATTGTATTCGTCGTAATATAATACAAATTTTTATACATGTAGCAGATCGCTTATAAAATATCTTTATGGTTTTTTTCACTCCTTTAATAATTTTATCCTTATACGGAATACGTACATGACGACACAATATTGCCAAAATATCTGATTTTATTGGCGATATAAGACAAATGCAGTAAAAATTATATTAGATTCAGGAAATAGAATTCCGACAAACTACAAATCTATTATATCACAAGTTTAACGCTTACTGAATACTTTAATTTATAATAATGTGTATTTTATCTAATTGCTATACAGTGTATTAGGACGCTCTTCTTTTGATCGAAATTTTCCCTCGGCTTAACTGCGATATATATATCCGTACTTTACTTCCGTCTGAAACTTTTTTCACCCAAATCTATAAAATAAAGAAATTATGCTTAAATTAAATATAATAATAAAAAAATTAATTAATTCTGTAAATTCAGGTGGAAATATTTACTTACAGCCTCGGTTCCAATTGCCGAGATATTTGCTGCAAACCTTGTTAAGTCCTTTCCTTCCACGTATACGGGTTGTCCACGATGAAACCTATAATTGCTTCATTAAAATGTAAAATTCATTCAATTATTATAAGAACTAATCAAAGTGAACATTACCATCGTCTTTCGTGTAAGAGTTTTCCGTCTTCTATCCTAGTTTCTACTAAAGGAGAATCGGAAGGTGAAGGTATGTGTTGTGAGGGCATATTTACCGCATTGTAGTGCGGCAATACTACTACAAACAAAGAAACGCGATTAACGCATGTATATTGCTTCAAAATTTCCAATCAGTACCTGGCTTTCGAACAGTAGTCAGTACTTTACCGCGACTAATAGCTTTTAAATCGCTTTCAATCTCTTTTTCATCTAACAGATAATTCAACTGAGCAGGAGGAGGTTTTCTTCTCTTTTCTACCTTTTCAGGTACAGGATCATTAGGACGTCTCCGTAATTTCCTTGTCATTACAGGTTTTACCTGAACAACAAACAAACAAGTACAAACATGTTATAATGGAAATAATTAAACAATTAATGCCCAACTCTAATATACCTCCATTGAATCCCCTGTAAGCTCCATTGTATGCCGATCAGACTCAATCATTTTGCGTTTCTCTTCCATATCAGTCAATAAGTTCTCCTTCAAATCTATCTTCTTTTCTTCAAACTCCTTAACCGCTGCTTTCTTCTCTAATATATAATCTCTTTCCACCCATTCTGTTAAGTAATCACGGTAAATTGTATTCAGTCGTAATCTGCAAATTATAATTTACTTAAATGACTGTGTACAACAGTTACAAAGGTATGTTACATTTAATGAAACTGAACCTTTCTTTGTACTGAGCTTCTAAGCGTTTTAACTTGCGATTATACTCAGGATGAGTACCATCTTTCAACTGCTGTAATTGTTTCTTCAAGCTAGCCAACTTGTCCTGATAAACTCTACAAAATGTCACGGCTTAATTATAATAGTTTAAAAGAGTCCAAAAATGTTAATCGGCCAACTTACTGTTCTTTTATTTCTGTGTATTCTTCTGATTTTCCGAGGTCAGTTTCGCTTGCCTCTTCGGTATCTGAAAATTTATATCGATCGTACAAAGATGATTATTGCGATTATATCGAATAATACGCGATTAAATCTACCTTCATCACTCTCATCCTGCTCTTCGGCATCTCGATCATCCTCCAAATACTCCTCATTATCCTCGTCAATGTCGTAATCGTCTTGACAGTACATAGTCGAAAACGGTGAATCCTGATACGACATTTTACTGTACAATAATCATTTCCTTAAATCTATTCAGTAGTATAAGATTGTTTTGAATCGACGAGGTAAACAGGTTGTTTCCTATGAAGGTTAGAATTGTCAATTGCAAGGTGATTTGTTCGCACCTTTTATCAATAGATTGTCATAATTTATACCGATAGGAAGGTAATTAGTGAACAAATTGTGTATAAATATGTAAGAAATATGTATCAGAAGGGATAAATATCACTTCTGTTCACTTATTACGAAACTGAATTTTTATGGTGCAATCCACAGGAATACTAAAAGGGTTTTTTGTATTTATGTATATACAAAATTCAATTAATGGCTGTAATTGCAACGGATAGCGAGGTAAATGAAAAATATTTAAAAAATTCTATTTTATATTTTGAATTCATCATACAATTAGAATAAATGATAATCAACTTTTTATGCGTTCAAAAATCGCTAAAATAAAAAAAATATTTCTATAAGTATTTTCTGCGAAGCCTGTGTTCGCTAAGTAATACAAATTTATACACAAACGTCAATTACGATGGACATAAAAACCTACCGATCATTTTATCAATTACAAATCTAATAAATTATTTCATATACGCTTTAAATTGTGCCACGATTATACGTGTTTATAATCGAATAAATTAATTGGTACATAATGTTTTTAGATAAAATTTAAACCAGCAATTGACCTTGTAAAATTTAGTTATTACTGTTGGTAAGACGTGCAATTGGTAGTATTTTTTAACGTACTTCGCAGTTGTATAGTTGCGGTTTCAAAATGTATGTATGGGTAGTAAAACGAATTTAAAAGATTCTGACACTTTTACGTGATTCTAAATTACACTGTGCCTCATATACTTTGTTGAATGATATCGCAAATATACACAATTGAGGTTTGCGATAATCGTCTTTGCAGGAACGTGACAGGATCATTGAAATTTGGCGGTAACATAACCTTATCGTGACCTTAGTGAAATAGTTTATAAATGATTTTTTCGGATCTCCTTTATTCTAATACTGCGTGCAAAATATGAAGGAGTTGGAGGAGGTCAATTGCGAGGTAATTCTTAAGTCTAACAGGTTTCTCTTTTTTCGCTAAATATTTTCAAAATATCCACATGGTTATTACAATACAGTAAACTCTCGAATTACGCAGTTAATTCGTCCTAAACCTTTCCTTTTAAAAAAAGTCGGTCCTGAGTTACAAAGAATAATTTTTTTACTTGTTTGTGTTGTATATTAATAAAAAGAGACTCTTAATTTAATAACAATATTGTTATTGCATAGGTTCGCAGCATTTTAGATATTAGGCACTCTGTATTAAGCTGTTTAAATAATGGAGAAGGTGATGATGGTGGATTATCGAACAATTCACAAGTATACAATGGTTTTGATAATCCCTGTGGTGGATTTTTGAATGATGGTACATACGCTTGGCTGAGCTATGGTTGTCATATATTAGTTCTAAATACTAAAACAGGCGAAAGTACCAGTTCATGGACCTTTCGTGGAAAGATCACTTGTGTGTGTCAGTTCCCTACACAATGTGGGGAATTACCATTACTTCTTGTTGGTTTAGATAACAAAGCTACCAGGATTAAAGATTCTGTGGGTTTACTATGTATCTTTGACTGTTCTACATCTCGAGTTTTGAGAGCTATAAGAGTATGTATGGGTAAAATATTTCCTATAAATTTCTTTAAAATTATATTTTTTGACCTCTTTATATTTGTGTAGATGCCAGCTGGCATAGAACAGGTTTGCATTGTGTCTGGAGGTGCAGAATGGGAGGAATTTAATGATCAGAGACCAGACAATATTCTCATGCAAATGGATGGGATAGCATGTGTAGTACTGCGTAATCTTAATCATCTCATGATTGATCTTCAAAGATCTGCTTGGGAGGTACCTGATTTGTCTCTTATAATGGATGAAACTTCTCCAGCTGATATTGAATATTTAACATCAAAAGATTCTTTTAATAGACATCAATCAAATAAGAGTAAACACATGGCTTGTAATTTGTTGAATCAACGTAAGAAAATGTTTTATTGTTTCTTTATTTTGGCAACATATACATACTTACGTTCGTACGTTTACAGGTATAGAAAAACATATTGGGTTTAACAGAGAAGAATTTGAATCATCCGTTTTTTTAGATGAAAAGCTAACAAATACCATCGTTAGTTCAACGAAGATTGGATGTTTAATATCTGGATGTTTAGGTAGAGTGATAATATGGCAAAACAACGGTTCTGTAGGGTGGATTAGTTTGCCCGTCGACGAAACTATGATAGTTACACATTTAGCACTTTTGGAACCGACCGATGATCCTCGACCTTTTTACTATTTGTGGGTCGTTTTTCAAGACGACTTGTACAAGGTTCCACCGCTATTAAGAATGTATGCCTTATTATTCGAACGAAAATACTGTGATAGAGGAACGAATCTGTACTTCAATTTAGAAGCCGAACCTAGCCTTAAATTTGAATTCGAATTAGATACAAATGACAGAGTTGTCAGTTTATCCACCATCGAAAGGGGAGCAAATCCCGACCAAACGGAATCAGAGTTTAAACGAGGCGAGGACAGTTTACTTCTCGTATCGACTACTAATCGCGCATTGCTATTCGATTTAAATCAATGGTACAAAGAACAAATGCCTCAAACTGTCAGCGAATGCAAAAATCCGAACAGCATATTGGCCAGTTATAACACGAAATTACGGCCGTCCAACGTGGCTAGCAATGAAATAATCTGTTGTACTTACATTCCTCGTACTTTGCAAGAATTTCCAAATAACAGTTTAAGTTCGTTGGAAGAATTATTCTATCCGAATTCATTGTCGCTCGAATGGATAGAATTGAACATGACGAAATTAACATTCTGGTTATGCCGCGGTGTCCAGGCCGAACTGCTTCGTGAAATGGCGCTTGCCGGGCCATTTGTGTTAACGCAACCATCCAAAATGTTTCACAAATGTCTCTCTGTAGGCTTAGTACCCTTTAATACGGACGTTTCCTTCACGAGCGATCATAATGTTCAAAGAGATATGTTGCTGTCTCTTTGCTTGGAGCAGCGTTGGGCAACATTTTTGATAAGATGCGCTAAAGAATGGTCGGACGGAAGCGCAGCATATATGTACCCAAGTTTTTTGAAATGGGGTATACAACGTGCATCCTCGATAAAAATGATCGCGGATAATTTGTCCATTCCGTTATTCGATCAGTCGGGCAACAATATTGGAGAATCCGATGTAAAGACCCTTCGATTTTGTTACCAACAGCTAGAATGTCTATCGAACGTGGTAGCAAAGCTGCCTTTCGAAACGAGCAACCTGATAAATCAGCGAAGAGTACTTAAACGCGTGTCCATGTACTTTCAAGTACTCCTCTGGTTCTATGATGTAGGCTTGTTGCCCGAATTACAGGATTTAGAGGAGGGTCCTCTACCGCTCTCCCTTGCACTGAAGATTCCGTATCCGTATGAAAAATTGTTTTCCTTATATAAGGAAAAGCGAGAGTCGATCAACAACGACAGACAGAACGGTGAAAATGAGGTTCTCTTTATAGATGAACTAATAACTCGGGAATGTCCTGTTTTGACTTTACAGTGGGAAAGGGAAGCTAATGATACATCTACGAATGGTTACTATCCGCCTCCATCGTTGCAGTCATTGTTAAGAAGTTACTTAACCGACTGTGATCAAACTGAATCTAATGAGATACAATGCAAACATCAGATCACCATATATCTTCTAATGGATTTAGCAATGCTACTGCAAGGATCTTATCCTGGGGTGGACCAGCTGATTAAGTATCCTTCCTCATTTAAGATGAGCCCCAGCCTTATAAAGCTTACGCAAGCATTCTGGCTCCTCGATCATGACGATTACCATGGATTCTTGGATATGATGACTGGTCCATTAATATGTGATTCTGACGTTAAAGACTGGCATCACAAACTGGTATTGAGGACTTTAGTAAGGAACGGTCAACATAAACTGGCTTTGATGTATCTACGCGTAAGGAAGCCTCCTTTGTCATCCATTCAGGATCAGAGCACGTTGATTGATTTGTCGGTGGGACACGGCTTGGTTCAATCAGCTTTTCATCGTAGACCACAGTCCCACTATGCTCAGCTGTTGATGTGCTTTTTCCAAGCGTGTAAAACTTACGACAAGCTGGGCGATATCTTGCACTTGGCTTTGAGTTCCGCGGAAGAAGAAATGTTCATCAAGTTTTTGGAAGAGTCTAAATCCGAAAATATGCGATTGCTGTATTATTTGCAACGTTGCCGTTATATGGAAGCTAATAGCGGTAACTCAATCGGTAGATACAACGCTGTTTCCTCGACAAATCTTCACGCAGATATGTTGAACGCTTACAACGCAACTTTGCCTGACGTGGTGAAACGATTTAACATTAACATGGATAAAACAAACTTAGACACGGGCTTGGAACCGCGGTACCCTAGACCGATGACCTATAACAGAAGTTCTCAGTGTACGAGTATTTATGAGACTGTTATCAAAAAGGCAAGGGAGACTTTTCTCAAAGTCGAGAAATCTGTAATCCCTTTTATCACTGCTCCGTGTACGACGTTGAAACTGGACGACAGTTACGTTAACATTAATTGCGTAATGTCCCCGAAAGTTATACAGACAAATCGGAAGCGCACTTTGGACGACATGCAACAAGAGGAAAATAGCGAAATAAGAACGACAGATAAAATAAAGCGTAGAAAGCTGCTCGACGAAGGAGAGGCAGCTATAAACGTGGCGTTCAGTACACCTTTAGTAAAACGCAAAGTATCTAGCAACAGAAACACACCCATCGAAACTCCTCACTCTATTTTAAAGATCAGGCAACTTATAAGAAGTTCAACATCGTCTACTATTAGCCCCGTACAGGGTGAAATCATAGACAGTCCAGAAAAGAAAATCAATAGACAAATACGATTCAACATTAGTCAGTCAAAGAAAAACAATTCCTACAGTGAAGTAAATAGTGAAGATAACAGTATAGCTACGCCAAACATAATTAAAGGTAGCAACGAGCCATTCTTCGGTACAACAGTTAATGAAGAGTCTCTTATGGAGAGTCCAGCCTTGGCAGATAGCAGTTATACTTGTATAAATATACAGAATGTTCGTCCTAGACCTCAGTTAAAGAAAACCAATTCCTACAGTGAAGTAAACAATGAAGATAACAGTATAGCTACGCCAAACATAATTAAAGGTAGCAAGGAGACATTCTTCGGTCCAACAGTTAGTAAAGACTCTCTTATGGAGAGTCCAGTCTTGACGGATAGCAGTTATACTTGTATAAATATATACAATGCTCGTCCTAGACCTAGTCTCAGAAGAACTAGCTTACAGACATCCGCAGAATCATTACAAGATTCATCGGTCAAGTGTTCGAAAACAGGAAGTTCTACGAATTATCGTTTGACCGATTCACTTAGTGTATTAGAAAATTGTAATACGCCGATTTATTCTTCGCCGATACTTTCTCCGCATAGCAGTTTCGAAATAATTTCTTCTGCGAGGAAATCAAACAAGACACCTAAACTATATGCTGATTGCCCCAATTCGTCTAATACTGTTATAAACAGCCCTAGTCTCAGAAGAACTAGCTTACAGACATCCGCAGAATCGCTACAAGATTCTTCGGTCAAGTGTTCGAAAACAAGAAGTTCTACGAATTATCGTTTGACCGATTCACCTAATGTATTAGAAAATTGCAATACATCGATTTATTCTTCGCCGATACTTTCTTCGCATAGTAGTTTCGAAATAATTTCTTCTGCGAGAAAATCAAACAAATCGTCTAAACTGTATGCTGATTCTAATTGTCTCAATTCGTCTAATACTGTTAGAAACAGTCCTAGATTCGAGAAATCTCGCAACAATGTTGAAGAACCGATGAATGTAGATGATAATGAAAATAATACCGAATTGGAGTCATACGTAGAACGAACTACGTCTCCTGTTATAGCCAAATCGAATTATGTCCAGTTCACTAGCAGTGACCAGAGAAGTAACGATAAGCTGATGGAGGATGATCAAAGTAAATGTAACAATGGAGACGTTTTAAAGAGCAGAATCTTGGAAACCGAGAACGAACAGACGAAGGATATCAATTGTTCAACCGATAGCGAAGAAAACGATGACAACGAAAATGAATTTGAGAGCTTTTCCAGTACGTTACAGAACAATTCTGGTCTTTCGACAAACAGAGAACGTCGTTCTTGGTCGCTTTACGACGAATCACAGAAGGAACCGTCTAAGGGTATCCATGAACAGGCAGATCTGAAAAATAATGAACATTTTGACATCACCGACGACGAGTCCTCGAACAGTGGCGACGAAGTTACCCTGGGTTTTGACGAAACGGATAACAAATTTAAGCGAAAGTCGCGAACATCATCGATGCACGTGGAAAATATGTACAATGTTTCAAATATCACCGACGATGAATCTGATTTCAGCGAAGATATAAATGAACCCAAAAGAAAATGTATTGTATATCCAGACACAGAAGAGAGTGTACACAAAGAGTCCAAATCCTCGACAAAGGAAAAAGTAAATGTAGAATCATACAAGGCAAAGAAAGAGTCGATAAATCTTGATAACAATAATTCTAGCATCAGGGACGAAGTAAATGAATCAGTCCATGATTCGTCTGTACACATAAGTTATAAAGATACCGTTAGTACTTCTAACTTGGATGGTGAGTCCTCGTCCATTAATAAGAGTGCCATGCCAAGAATGACTAGATCGCGCAGAGCTTCCTCGATAACAAAGGAAACAAGTTCACCTTCCAAAGTTGCTGCAAGGTCTATGCCAAGGCGAGCAAGTTCACTGGTAAAAGAAGTTCTGATCGCGTCTGTCGCTGAGGACGAAGATTCTAAACGAACAGATTCGTTTGAATTGGAAAATTCGTCCAGCATCTCCACGCCAAGAAAAGCTAGAGGTAGAAGGGCATCGTCTGTGTCAAAAGACGTTGTTCCTAAAAAAACGGAAACAGAGGATGAAGAACCCAAGACACCGGTGAGGCGGAGCACGAGACGCGCTGCTTCTGTGCAAAAAGAATTGTCAGAACCGACAAAACCCTTAACGAAAACAAGCAGGGCTTTGTCGTCCTCTAGTTTAGTAATAGAACGCAAGGACGCGAAGGATCAAACGGAAACTAAAAGTTCGAGAAAGAAAACCTCGACCACGCGTGAAAGAAAATTAAGTTTAACGTCGTCGAGATCCACGAAAGAATCAAAGACAAACGAAGAAGAGATGGAAGAAGTAAGCGTCGTGAAACCGACGAGAAGACGTAGTAGCTCTGTGCCTAAAGAAATAGAGGAAAAGGGAAGAGGTCGAAGGTCTAGCAGCGTCTTGAAGGAAACCATTCCAGAGGGTTATGAGCTTTCATTGGACGCTACGAAAGAAAAGCATTTAGCGATACCAGCAGTGAACAGTCCAGCGGCAAATACACGTAGTCGTAGATCATCGATACGATCGATACCGGAGGAACTCGAGGAAATTTTGAGCGTGCCATCGAAAGAGAGAATTTCTACCACGGGTAACAGAGAACAAGCTACGCAAAGTGCTCGACAAAGAAGGGCTTCGAGTGTCGGGCTCTCGCGTACAGAAACACTGAAAAGAACTAGAGCTACTCGTAGCAAAGGTGTTCTCAAAGAAGTAATACCGGAAGAGGAGGTAGCGGAAGTAAAAAATGAAGCAAGCACGAAGGTTTCTAACGTTAAGAAAGTTTCTGCAAGAAGGAAACGTACATTGTCGGAGAGAATTATTGAAGAAATAAGCGAGGACGCGCAAAAAACAAGAAGTCGAAAACCGAACGCAAAACAAGACGTTAGCGATCAGTATTCGTTTTCGCAGCCAGAGAAAACAGACGATGCGCCATTGGATCAAAAAGGTAATATTTAAGAAATTTCTTTGTTCTGTATAGAATTGTTGATATTGATATTTTTTAGCTATTGGAGAAGTGCCAAATTACGTGTTCTCGCCACCTCATACTAGGTCAAGGGATGTTACTTCCGACCATCGTAAGTGGTTATTACTTTTTAGTTAATTTAAATTTATTTCATTATCGGCAATTGGTTTGTTTACTACCATCGGTTAAGAATCATATATATTTTTTTTAATCTTTTGGCACGCGTATGTGCATGTATTCTACCGCCCAATAATTTGCAGTTGTAGATTAAATTTTTTCATAATTTTCATGCAGGAAAATAAATATAATTCTCCTAATTTTGACCGAAGACGAAGCGGGTTTAGAGAAGGAAGAGGAAGAGGAGAAAATGTACAGAAAATTTTACACATAAAAAGCACCAGTAATTACGTCTGCATAACTATAAATCGCTGTAGAATAAAAGTTGTATTACCGAAAAGATCAGAAAGTATAGCAAATTAAGTACAATTTTTGAAATTTCTTTTTTAACTTATTCGCTTCAAAGTACTTTCAATTTATCGATTTGAAATAATTTAAGAATCACTCTGATCTACGTTAGATGATAGTGTTCTCATCTGAACCAACAGTTTTCAAATAACAGAAACACACACACACATATATATATATAGCAATAATCATTATAAATAATTGCTTTTTAATTTCATTATCTAATAGAAAGTGAATCAGAGATTACAATATAGGGGACCATATGAGACGAAGCTTTTAACAGGAGACAGGATTAATTTCCGGAATGTGGTTGGAAAGGGGAATGTTTTTTGCTATTGATTTAACATATTTAATGTAAAATGAGTTACAGTAGAAGTATTTTTCGATGATTAATTCCCGTATGACATTAATGCTTATAAAACATGCCAACATAATATTTCACAAAGAGCATATTTCTAAACTCAGCATACTTTGTTAGAAAGATTATTTTGTGTAATCTATAAATTTGTTTAACTAGTTTATATTATCTTATGCATTCTACAATTAAGAAATACCCTATTTTATTTCGTTTCATTTCCTATCATTGAATTTCCAAACTTGTAGACAGCTGTACAGAAAGAGAATTTTGTTGACCCGTATTTTGAGAACATTAAACAACAGTGTTTTAAAAGTGTATTATATAGTACAAACATCTAATACTATATTAATTGTAAAGCGCAAAATTCGTTACTTTTATACACAAATCGCCAAATATACTTGTTACATTAATCGTTCGTTTTTTTTTTTGTCGTAATAATTTCATGGAATGAATTATTGTTGTTTCGTATACACAGTAACTTCTATAGGGTTTTGAATGACAATGTGTATTATAACATTGTAAATAATTTATTAATATACCCATGTATAGCTGTATTCATACAATAAATGTAAAAAAGAATTAATGCATATTATTGCTATTTAATAAATTTCCAATCACCATAAATAATAAATCGTTATGTTATCAATCCTACGGCAGTATTAAATAATATTAGAAATGAACTGCACCTACATATATTTGTGAATATAAGTCATATAGATTAGTACAAATTGTACATAACTTGATCCTTAAATTTATACCTTTCAACTAAAGTTTCCTACAACTTTGAACTGTAGTAGTTTATTTAAGTTATTATATGTTAAGCACTTCATTAAAGCACGCGTTTGTAACTTCATATTTTTTAAAAATGGATTTTTTTTTCTTGGTAATACTTAACTCCATCTGGTACAAACTGAATGTTACTAACGTCATCTTTGGCAGTTAATTATTCTTTGATCTGCACCTTAAATAGTTAAAAAAAACATTTCCCTCTAAAAAGCAAGCACAATTTTTATATATATATATTAGATCTATAATAAATTTCGTTTAGAGAGCAAGTACTTATATTCAATTAAAGTCTGTGATAACTACATCATTTCATTTCGTATTCAGTCTAAATGGTCAATCTTTGTACATTGTTGTTTGCTTATTCGATACTCGATTATTTTATTTTATCCTTAATTTATCTGATTGTCTACTCTGCTATTTATTTTTGTTTCTCATAAAAATTTACGTCTTAGCATCATACAATGTATCAATAAAAAGTATCATTGTATTTGGGTTTGATACGAATGCATGTAGTAAAAGGCAGGTCTGATTCAGGACGGTGTGACTTAATACTTTAAATGTATTTACACTCTTTCAAAAGGCACGTTTCCCTTCGCACTATACGAAGTATTGTTTTCGACGAGAAAAAATTCAAAGTTATTTTCTTGTAATAAAAACATTACAATCGAATCTTTTTGCGAAGTAAACCTCATGTCCAATGATACGAATGTAAATTAATAAGGACAGAACTTCTAAATAACTTATCATAAGTAACTTATATTACTTATTCATGGCAACAAACTTTTTTTGTCATGGAAAGTACTTTTAATTAAATGAAATTTCCAGTTATCTTACTGCTGATTGCAACCATCTTTTACTCTACGTTTATGTTTCTCTTCGTGACCTTGGGACGGGGATTGCATTTGATTTCGTCGTTGTCCTTGTATAGGCATGTAACACGGCGCGTCGTCATTCATAAGCTCTTGCGGCGGTGTAGGCAATGCATACGTTGGGCTTACTGTACTGCTCGAACTACTCGAAGTGTGTCGGTGCGTATTTCCATTATAAGTAGGATCGATAATTGCAGCCACGTTTGGTACTTCTCGTATACTTTCAATCGGGTCATCTAATGTCTGTATTTCTTCAGGGTCAGGATACTGCTGGCAGTTTAACGAATATTGCATTCTGCTTTTACTTGGTGTACTCTTCAAGTCCAGCTTATCTGGTCTTTGAGGTTTTTCTTTAAGATTTTGTTCTTCCAGTTTCTCGAGTTGTTGTCGCTCTAACTTTCTTTGTCTTGCTCTTTCTCTTGCTTTCCTGATTTTCACACGTTCTTTTTCTTGAAGCATACGTGCTAATTCAGCATCCTGTGCTTCCATTGCAATTTTTTGATCCTGCAAAAATTGATCATCGATACGCCTATCATGATTGTCTATAGCATTTTCTTCTTCTTGTTGCTGTAATTTTCTTGCCAATTCCTTTATTTAACAAACAGATGAATGAATTAATAAACTGAAAGTTATAATAAATATCTCTCTAAAAAACAAAGCATATTTTATACGTACCTCATCTTTTTCTTCTTGAATATGTCGTTTAATTTCAAGCTGTGTTGCCTCGTCATCTAATCTAAGTTGCAATCTCATTTGTTCTTGTAATTCCCGTTCTTTTCGTTTTTCTTCCCGTTCCAAAGATAGTGCAACCTGTTTTGCAATAAGCGCATCTTTTTCCTCCCTAAAAAGAAAAACAGATAGTTTGAAAGAAACTTTGAATCAATAAGAATTATAACAATGTGCCCAACAATTTTAATACTGACTGTTGCTGAACATAGCTCTGGTATTTCAATGTTTCCAATTCTTGTTCTACGCGTGCCCTGGGTAAATCCTCCCTGACCTGCGCGTTGCGAACTTTATTACCGGTATAGTGCTCTCTGACTGTGGAGCATAGTAATACAAATTAGATACAACCAATAATATTGTAAAAAAATATCAATACGTTCTAAAATTCTTACTTTCTTCATCCTGAAGACGGTACGCGAGCGCTCCGTCCTCGTGTACCAACCACTCTCGACAAACTGCGACATTGTCAAACGAGATTGCATTAGAGATGCCAGTCTAATGAGTAATCATAATCAAGATCGACAGGAGGAATTTAGAAAAGCAACTGTCGTACCTTCGTTGACTCGACCAGCCTTCGGTAGCGTATCCGAACTCGCTACAGATTTGGCCATCTCGCATTAGCTGCTCTTCCTGTTGCTGAAGAATTCTTAACTCGCCCAACTTTCCTGTTTACAACCACCTTACGGAAAACATACGTTGTTTTCTCTCCATCTTGAATACCATTGAACACCACTAACAGCAGTGAATAAACCTCCCCCACCACTCCCTTAAACGCTAAGGAAATTCGTCGTTACTAGTGTCGCCGTCGATGCACCCAATTATGCTATATCTGGCCACACTGCTACCCCTCCACTTGACATACTAATGTAGGTAGACACAGGGTACAGCCACGGTACGTGAGCTTCGGACCACTTCGAGGATTCGAAAAAGAAGGGAAATGTAAGTCTTTCCTTCTTGCTCTCGAAAGAGCTGAAATCCGACACGTCAACCGGCATATGAATATGATTTCGAATCTCTACTACCCAGGCATTTTTATTTGTCAACCTCATAAAATGTTACACGTTTTAGAACAATCTTTTCGTTTAAAGGACGGTGGCTTTAAAAATTATATTGCACTTGCAATGGTCATTAAAATATGTATCATGGAATACCAGACTAATTATGCAGAACAATTCACTTTTAGATTAGTCATAACTTCAAACATTCTAATTCAAGTTATTGCAAAAATGCAATATGTATGTATTCAAATATGCTCGAATTAAAGCTTAAGCAGTTAAAGTGTTATTCTTAATAACACATATAGAAAGTACAGATTTAAAGGATAATACAGAAAATATAATTGCTCTATGCCTATTTAACAAGTAATATTTCATTCCTGCTATGTATAATATTACAGCAATTATATTTTACAATTCTGCTTCTTAACTTTATGATACAGTTCTATGTACTTGAATCCATATTCAAATTCTGTAACTTCATATTGAGGCTAATAGTCCAAATTGTGAACATTATTTATATTAAAACTAGTTTACAAAATCTCTTAATAATTGACTTTCATCAATATTTGAACCAGTCACTTGCCAAATCGATTAACTTCACAAAAGGGAAAGAAAAGAAATTGATAACATAATATACATTCTTTCTTAAGGTTTCTTTTAAAATTCCTTTTTATCAATTTTTAATACTGAACATAATTATTAAGGAAATTTATCTTAAATATTAAAAAGTTATATACTGATCAAACATATTAATCATTTTGGCTTGTGAACAGTTCATTTGATACTCTTTCAAGTTTTAGAACGAAATAATTAGTTACTACGTCATACGTCCTCCTTAGCACATGCGACTTTTGTTTAAAATATTTTTTACACGCAGCGAACAATTTGCTGACAATTCAAGGTGATCAAATTACGTGTCTCCGCTCTATATAAAACACTCCGGGATTTTGATCGTTCGGTAATTTGTTATGAAACGGAGATGATATCCGTCGATGCAGTTGAAATGACATTCACACCTGTAAAACAATATTTCAAATAAATAAAGTTTCATTAATTGTATTTCGGAAAACTCATGTTATCGTATATGTTCGTACGTGTGTACACTCCACAATTTACACAATATAGTTTGAACAATGTAAATGTTTTACGAAACGAGAATTTGAAGGGCAGCTAAATATTTCAAGCACTAAATTCTGTCGACGATCAGCTTAAACAAAGCTGTATTAAACACGGCGAATATCGCGATTGTACGAACATTGCGATACTTCCCCCATGAAGTGTGACAAGAGGGCCGAGGAAACAGCTGTTCTGCTGCTGCTGCTGGATGGTTGATTTGACAGGGAGGTCGAAGGATAAGCGAATGTTGTTTTATCTAGACTTAACGCTTTTAAATGATATCGCGAATATTCCGTGGAAAAAATGAGAATGTCGCAGTTAAGAGAAAATTGCAAATCGACACGCTGAAAATTTTTAACGACAAGTAAGAGAATCCATTCTGTATCGTAACCTCTTCTGTTAACCTTACGCGCGTTTGCCTGTCCAATATTTGTTTTCTTTACGAGCGTCGTGTTACGTATATTGACAAAATACAATGCTGCGAAATTTTCTGATCCCCTCACGAAAAATAAAACCCATGTTTCTTTGTGCAGTGATTTATAGCTCCGTATAACGACTCAAAATTAACAATGAATTAGTAACTGGTTCATTACTTGAACCATTGTCACGCAAAAATTAATAATATCACGGTTCTCGTTACACAGCCAGCTTATTAAGACGTATTTCAAGTTCCTTGCTTGATTTTCGAATTAAATACTTTGCGCGAACGAAATATTATTTTTGCTGCAACCTTGATTCAGAGACAGTTTTTCAAGATTTATTGGTATTCAATTGCATTACTTTTCGTATTTATGTTGTTCCTTTTATACGTTTCTCAATGATTCATTGGTTTCTTTCTAATTTTTAAATGTACAATAAATTGAGTGGTATGTTTGATTGTTCTACTCACGATTTGTAATATTACAGTGTAGTAGAATTAAGGGAAGATGTGGAATATCAGGTACAGTTCAATGCTGGGGAAAGAGGAATGGCTATTATGGTTTCTTTATCACCAGAGTTTCCACTGGAAAAACCAGTGCTCAGAGTTTCTCCTCCGATAAATCATCCGTGGTGCAACGAACATAGCGAGATCACAGGCGCACCGGGATTGCTAAATGTAAAAACTTGTTTATAGATACTTTGATTGAAACTCCAGAGACTACTCTGTTTCATATGTTAGTTTACAGTGCACAGCGATCTTGGTCGTGTCGTCCAAGCTATTATCAGAGAGTTCAGTAAAAATCCTCCGCAACTATTGAAAGATGTATCTCCGGGATCTGTAAAATCGCATAATGGTAAATGTATTGTCAAATGTGTGATTGAAAGGAAGGAAAGGAACAATGTTTATCTTTAACTATGTTGTTGTAGATCTGCAAGGAAGGAATTCTCCATCTTATTCCATGCAACAATATCCGGAAATTCCATCTACGTCGTATAATTCTTACTACACCACGCAGTATCCACAGTTTTCGTCCGCTAGTGGAAGTACCAGCATTTACAATTACAATCACACCAATTCAAGTACTCAGTACATGGCGGACGGTCATGCAAAATTTGGCTCTCCATCGCAACATTCGGCATACATTACAAGTTCGACGAGCAGCTCACTGCATAATACAGACTCGCCAAGATACAACTCGAATCACCAGGGAACGTATTTGAACTCCCACTATGTGAACGCAAATTACCACCAGCAGTCGTTGTCAAATCAAGCGCAAACGAAGCCACAACAGAGCGTAGCGTTCCCAGAACTAAATAGCTTATCTAACGAGGAATTGAAATTACTCAACGAAGACGACGACAAGCTGGACGAATTCTTAGACAAACATTCCAAGCTAAAAGACGTTAACGTGGAAATCGATGATGCAATAGATTGGGTCCAAAAAATTGCCGGTAAGTCCACTGTTAATAGATCAAAGGGCGATCCTATACCACGCGAAACCTATTCCTAGACAGGCCTGACAAATTTTAGTAGAAACAAAAATAATAACTATCTGAAATGGTAGATATCTCAAACAATTAAATTATTTCATTGTTTAACGTAACAGGTATTAATTAAAATTTGTGTTAATGTTTTGTTTACTTTTCCAGAGGCCAATGTAGCCAAAGAACCTGAACTTAGAGAATTGCAGTCTGACGTAGCGAGTAAAGTGCAAACGGTGGCTGCGCTGAAGGCCAGATATGATCAATTGATACAACGATATAACAAATTATCCGAGGTGTTTACTCCGGATCACATAAAAGAATGCTTGAGAAAGGCAGCGGATGAGAGTCACGAGGAGAGCGAGAGAATCGCCGAGAATTTTCTGAACAGAAAGATCGATGTGGAACGATTCCTCAGCACGTACATTGAATGTAGAAAGTTAGGCCAAGCGAGACGAACTAAAGAGGAGAAGCTGGCACATCAACTGAATGAATTAAAACGGGCCGGTTATTAAAACTAATTGTATAATGACGTCTTTTTTCTATGAATCGAACAAAACTGTAAATAACGCCTAGTTAAATTAAACGATACTGTGAATTCGAACGGCATTCGTGTTTACCAAATATTCTATAGGACAATGGCACTCGCTGGCAGAGAACACTTTTATAACATATTGCTACGTTGCATCACTGCTTGTTGTGCTGCGTCGAAATTAGTTCGATTGTGTTTGTGCATTCCCATTCAAGAATGATCGTGAACCGTGGGGCGTGAATCAGCTAAAAAAAAAAGTATTTATATGTGTAAGGAAATGAAAAAAAAGTGCTGGTTCGAATCGAGAAAAACTATATGTAATGCTTGAATTAATTTTAAGATGTACTTATCTTTCCATACAGAAAATATCTGTTGAATGATATTCAGTATGCTGCTGTTTCCTCTACGACATACTACAATTGCATCGACATCACTTTGACAAAGCACTTTTTTTTACTGTAAATAAACGTGCGATAAAACATGATTAAAACGATTTTTCAAAGTTTTGCCGTTTTGGTGATGTTAATCTAATTACTTATCCTACAGATGTTCCTAATACATTGTAACATATATTTGAATCTGTATAGAAGCGTGAAGTCTGAAGATTGAGAAAATGCTTTCGTTTCTTTTTTTTTTCTTCTTTTTTTTATAAACTGTGGTGTATGTAACCCCGATTATGAGGTTTGTTATTTAAAAACACAGCTTAAGTTTCGGTAACATAAGGCTTCGTGTTAAAAACGCGATGATATAATTATATAGAAACCATAAATTGTAAATAACTTAAGAAAAGAAAACAGGTTTTTAATAAAAAAAAAAAAATGTGAAGAAAGTAAATAAATTCAAACAGTGGTACTAATAATCATTTCAGTGGTATTATCAAAGCGATATAAATATAAATGTAACTTAATATTTTATTTTCGTACAAACACTTAACGGATTACTATCTGTATTCGCGTCCCTATACCCATATTAGAAAAATAACATTAACAAAGGGTACACGTTTTTCTCGTAAATAGGTATACCGCCACACACTTCGATATTAAGCTTGCAACTAACATTGCTATGTGACAGGTGATCGTGTACGAAGACACATTTATATAGTATCTACACGTTTTTTTTTTTACTGGTAATACATATTTAGTTTAATTACTGTTAAGGATTTCATATGACTCGTCGAACCGATCAAGGGTCGACGAATGAAATCATTATGTAACGAGTACCACTAGTAACTCTGAGTCCTTCATGGTAGTGTGTTAGTCTTCCAGGATGCATCAACATCCAACCCGGCTTCGCATCGGTCACGGAACAGTTGTATCGGATGAACCTACAACCTCCACCCTCGTAATCTATTCCCGCTCTATTCAGAGCGATATTGACAGTATAAGTTGAACTATCATGGTGTGGTTTTAACAATGGCTGCTCATCCGGGTGATACCTCACGACGAAATTCATCAGGGCGTGTGGCGGCTGTTTATTTGCATTAAAAAAAAAAAAAACAATAAATTATATTTCAGTAAGTACACTGCTCAAAATAAGTAGAGTAGCACTGAATCAAATATGTACAACTACTGACAAAAAAATGTGATCAATAAATGAAGAGCGTGTACAACCAATAGATATATATAAATTGTCTAACTAGAAACTAAGGGTGCAAGTGAGAAATGATTCGGAATACAAAAGCCTATCACCAATTAGCTATGCAATTGATTTACAAAAAAAAAGGATCTCGTAATTTGATATCGGTGCGTTTGAAAGTCTTGTGTGGCCAACAAAAACCTAGTCCCGAATTTCCAATGGTTTTTGTGACTCTTACGTTCGAATGGTAGCCTACAAACACAAGTTCTTGCAAAGGGCTGACATATTCGGAAAGAAAGTATAACCAAGACTCGTAGAGGTCAACTTGTCTCATATGAATATCACGCGTCGGTACGGCCTCATATCCGCCATCGATGCGTGGATCCTAAAAATGATCGATGCGTGCATTAAAATAACTGATGAGATATCTTACGTCGTGGTAATATCCGGTGAACACAAGTTCCTGCAGAGGTCTAACGTACTCCTTTAAGAAATATAGCCATTGCGATTCATAGTTCACTTGAGTCATATGAATATCACGAGTAGGTACATTTTCATAACCACCCGTTAATCTTGGATCCTGTCGAAAAACAGTGTTTCTGCATTTTTTATCATTGCGAATATTAGCAAGCCAAACTTACAATTATAACAGTGTATATACGAAGATCGATTCGCTGAAAAGATAAATATAAAAAATATTTAATTATCATACATTATTTGTTCCATCGGACCACTTTCCAAACGCCTCCATAACTTCTACCAACTCCTTCGTGAACCGCTCATTGACTAAGGGAAACCAGTACACGTCTGGGCAGGGCTGTTGAGAACATTTAATCGAATTATTAACCTGAGAGTTTATAGACTTACAGAACAAGAATTGTAAGAATTAAACATTGTTCAAACAAGAATCAAAAATGTATTTATAAGACTTGCCTGTATGGGTATTTGTTTAGGATTAAAATTCTCGGAGTAATTTTCGTGTATGTATTTTGCCTCCCAGTCTAATTTGTTGTCAAAAATTTGGTACAAGTCAGGATTGGTCATAGCGGTATCGTAGCTATTCGGATCGACCAGATGCCCAAAGTCAAGTCTGTTGGTAACATACATGAAAATGGATCGTTCCCTATTAGCATGAGCAAACGCCATATCCGTGTCTAAATCCCACTCCACATAGGATGGACGAGTCTCTTTGTTGCTTATCAGAGTGGCGTTAATTAGATAGCAGTTGCTGATGAAGGGCACGTTCCACAGCCCTCTGTAAGAACAAGACAATATCGGTTTATTGCTGTGATCTTATAATTATTATGGATATTAACTAGTAACATTAGAACTACCGACAATTATACTGTGTTTATTTGTACCAAAGAAATTGAAACGTTGAAGTGTTTATATATTCTCTTATAGAAAATTACGATAAATTTTTTACAAGTTTTATTAGAAATTATGAATGGGTCATTTTGACTGGTTTGGTAGTTCTAGTGTTAAGGAACATCACTGGGGATTACTATAATAACTCTGTTCTTCGACCGTAAACGTATAATAATCGGTGCGGTAATATGTAGTTTGTTGACCACGGGCAACGATGTTGTTTTGTCAAAGGTCAATATTTAAATATTTTATAAGGCAATCAGTGTATGCTACCATGATTGGTCGACGAATATATGTACAGTGACAATGGGTTATATATAATTATCCAATTGAGATTCATAACTCTGTCACCAGCGACGACATACACATCGAGCTCTGTTCATTTATATTTTAAGCTGTAAGGACAGGAGGAATCTAAAGATCTTGCTCAGCCTCCGAATCAAAGAAGTATTGCCGAATAATCGTTATGCATTTAGAAGCCGTAAAGTTCAACGAGCATACTGAGAACTGATTCTGTGTCGAAGTGTAAACAGGACATTTGATGATCAGTGTATCACAGACAATTGTTTGAACAATACTGTGGAATAATACAGATACCTAGTGCGTATTTATCGAGATTCTCTGAGAAAACAAGATACATTCATGTGTACTCGCTTCGTGTAAACCGCGCAAAGGAACTCTATTTATTCCAGACAAATGACCAAACGCAAATTTCTGTATTTGTTCTTGTTCATTGTTTTGCTAATGACTGCAGACGCGACAAAAGGTGGATGAAGCAGCGGAAGTCTTGAACGCCGTAGCGGGAAAGTATACGCTTCGGGGATGCCTATTTTGATCGCTCATCGAAATCCAGCTAGCTTTAATTACTGCAAGAACACAGATGTGAGTTCTAAACAAACAAAAACACAATTTTAACACCGTAGATATCTATAAGAATACCCCTTTGTCTAAACCCCAAATATTATAGGGGGCGAAAATAGTGAAATCCTCGCACTTTGAATTAGATTACATTCTGGGGAGAAAAATCACTTTCTTCTGCATGGCCACTGGATTTCCATGACCCGCGATCTTGAAGTGTCTTGTTTAGAACGTTGAAAATACAATCATGTGCAATAAAACATTCAAACCCTGCACATATTTTCCAGGTACACGAATGGCCCATTGGTAACGACACATTGAAGTCAAAGATGGAAATTGATCCTGCTACACAGAAAGATGCTGGATATTATTAGTTCCACGCGGATAATCAGTACGGCCTCAGGACTGATTATGTCATGATCTCTTATTAAAATTCGTATATTTTCAGTTTCGTGAAAATATTAACGTTGACAATGGTTCATAAATGTTATGACTGTAGATATCAACTAGAACTATATAAATATTTAATAGCTCTTCGAAAGTTACGAATAAATAATAAACTTTGAGTATTTCAAATCCAACTCTCGTATAAACATGTATAAATACAGGCAAACGTATCGGTATTAAGAGATAAGAAAACTAATCGTTCATAAGGAAATAATAAAGAGTTGTACAAATAAAATTGTATTAGAAGACTGATTAGTAATGCCAGTTAAGTTCTATTAAGCAATTATTTGCTCAATTAAAATGTAACTATAATTTAACATATACATATGTGCAAGTAAAACGCGCAAAACACCTCGCTGTTTTCTTTGACGCATGTACTTCGTTGCTATTAAGAATTCAATGCATAACGGCACACTTGGAAATTTAGAGTTCCCCCAGCTCTTATTCATTAAATCGCAATTGACTCTCATAAGGGTGGTACGTTTGTTGCGTGAAGCATAAAACATATTTAAAATGGTTCGGCAATATAAATCTATTTAATGAATTGTACAATCATTTCGAAGTTCCATTCAATAAAGAAGAATGAAATTTTAGTATAATACAACTTTAAATAAAAATCTAAACGGTCCCCCCATTCACTTCAAGGAAAGTGAAGTTTTTGCACAATTGGAATCAATCAATATAAGCTAACAAAATAATAGAAATGAATGAAATCCAAAGGTGGCTGTAACAGGCCATTTTATTGTTATCTTTAATTCTGTGTTGTTGGAACTTGGTTGCAGTGATATTATATTAAATAGACATTAAGTAGATTTGGAATTCGTTGATGACCGAGTTGCAATAGGTGTCAAAGGAATAATCTGCACACGTACACGCTATACAAGTGCAGTTCACCAGCATTTGCCTATACGTTTGTAATAGATAGGAGAGGACACTAGGGGAGTAATGAGTAGGTGGCTGTCAGTTGCATTGGAGTTCCGTGTGATCATCGTACGTTGCCTGTGCTCCGTGAGTATCTGCGACATGTCAGTATGGACGAATGTTGCACAATATTTGAAATATCGTCCTATCTTGACGACGAAGATCAGTAGTAAAAGCATGGATCAAACATCAAATGACTCCTGTTTCTTTAGCTACCTTGATCCCCTCAAATTGTTTTTTTTCTGCGAGACTTTACAAGATTTTTCAAAGAAATTTCAAATATTGTTTTCATTGCTTGTTGTTAACGACTGTTAAAAGCAATTCTGAAATTTTTCTATATTTTTCCATTCCTTCGAAGACTCCCGATCGCTAACTTAACTTTTATTTTGCTAATTTTCCCCAGACCGTCATGTTACGTTTTATGGTGATACTATTTCTGTTAATCGTATTGCTGCTGAACAGCCAGGAGGTTCTCGGTCGAAGGGGACGAGGCAGAGGTAAGACCAGATCGCGTGTTCAGATAGGATTGCCTATAACTGGAAAGTACCGTGATCCAGAAAGTGATCAATATTACAACAACCATAACGTAAGTCGATCTACACATGTAATCAATAATGAAACTCTAGACTGCTTGTTTCGTAAAGCTGAACAAATATTTGTCTAGGGCGCAAAGATATTGTTGGCGTCGCACTTCGACTTGGAGTATGTTTTAGGACACAAAATCGCTTTCCTTTGTGTCGCACGTGGAAATCCACGCCCGCACATCACATGGTTTAAAGATGGTGCTGAGATTTACACTCATCTCTACCTACACGTTGGTATACTTAATTCTAGAATAATTGAGCATGGGAACCGGATAACAGCGAATATTTGGTGTACAGGTGCACGAATGGCAAGTTGGGACGGATAAAGTAAAGTCAAAACTAGAGATTGATCCTGCTACTCAAATGGATGCTGGGGTCTACGAATGCACAGCCGACAATATGTACAGCATCGATCGCAGGTCCTTCAAGACTGACTTTTCTATTGCTTTCGATTAGATATACATCCCCTTAGTAGTTTAGAAAAAGTAATCATAGATTATATCTTTAGGAGTATGAAATAATCCTCCAGATGTACAGCTTTTGTATATCAAATTAGACAATAAATTCAATTCACTGGATTGAAGTGTATCCTGATTACTTACCTCCATTCATTTTTCACGATCTCCATATAATCGAAGCTCCGGGCGTAAAATCCGTTATCCATTATCGCGCCCCAAAAGTTACTCCACATCTTATATGGTCTGACCAGCATCGGTGCAATAATTCCTCGTTGCTGCTCTACCAAGAGTTCCAGCGTGTATTCATTATCCAGATGGGATATGGAGTCGACCGAAAAGTATCCAGAACACCGGTTCAACAAGCAATGATCCCTAAGAAAGAGTTTTTATTTTAAAAGGAGAAGGATATTGTAAACCAGCTTTCATAGTTAAATTAAATGTTTTACACGTACATGGATAAATTTCTGGCATTAGCTTCGCTTATACCATCGCTGGGACGAATCCGCTTGCTACTATTATATACCCTCTCAAATTTCTTCATAAATTTGTCCACTATGGGCTCATGATACTCCACAGTGTTATGAAGGAACAGATGCAACTTTGATTTTGGATAAATTTGCCTGTATATTTTTGTCAGGAATTCCTCCAAGAAAGGAGTAGGTTGTTCAATGAATATGGCGACTAATATAGTGGGATATGTTTCTGGTTGTGTTTTATTCAGTTCTATTGTGCCCTCCCAACACTCTAAGCATCCATCTTCGGTATTCCAAGCTTGAGCCAAGTAATTGCTCAGAGAATTCAAAGATAATTTGCTGTTACCGTTTCCATGAAGTACCAAAGGTTGAGTATTGTAAACAGTGTTTTGAAGAGAAGTTTTTCTTCCTTCAAATTTCAATTCCACATCGGCTGTACAATATAGATACGTTAACATAATGCAATACTTTTATTAAATATGAATGTCTTCAAATATTTTTTAGTATATTCATCGCCGTTCGATTTGTTTGCTTACCTACAGCAGCATAAAGATTATGGAATATTTCAGATTTATGGTCCAACTTTATTTGATGCTGTTCTCTCAATTTTTTATTGAGGTATGCGTTAGTGTAGAATAACTGATCGTCATCCGCATTTTTTATCGGAGCATACGTTATCATTGCATAAACGTCCGAAGCGTAGCCTATAAAGCTTCCAGAATTTAGGAATCGCTTTCCGCGAGTTGCGATGGGATACTTGGAGGCCAATGATTTATCTGGCCAACAAGATCCTTCGGCAGAGAATACAATTCTTGCGTCCATACTCTTGAACTTGCCAATAATTTCTTCTAATCCACTTAGAAATATCACGTCATAACTAAAATGTGAAGACAGTTATTAAAGTATGAGTCAACGATGATAACTCAAATGTGCTAGGTATAAGGACAACATCAAGCAAACCTGTCTGTGAATATCACAATTCTTTCTTTGTCAAATTGATATTCCTCCAGAGCTTTTTTCAAAAGATTGACTTTGTAGCCTCCTCCAGGACCAGTTTTTACGTTACCGCCCTGCCAAGATTCTCCGAAACCAAGCACGTTCAAGTTATCGCGAAATCCATAGATATCCACAGATCTGAGATATCTATTGTAGCCATCTGTCTTGTTGCTAGCAACAGTGTATACGAGAACATCTGTAATGCAATCGATTATTTAATACGCTGCTTTTTGGTTTTAATCTGGAGATGATTAAAGAAGAAGAATTTTTAGGTTCAAGCCATTTTAAGCATCTAGCCAAAATTCATTTTAATTTAGAACACGACAATATCAGTTCTACCGCGAACTACATAATATGGAAGGTTAAGTAATTAGTCGTGCATAAGATCAGGGTTCAGTGACTTTCATAATGCAGGGTATGCTTGAATAAATATTTGTCAAAAAAATATTTCAGACCGTGGCAGAGTGAACATGGCCACTCGTGAACTCCAGGAACGTTTGTCTATTTTTAGCGTAATATCATCAACGCATGGGCTCGGTATGCTGAACAAGCAAAGAAACCGTTCCCATAAGCATTACATTTTCGATCTGACATCATGATCTGAATGTAATAGTAAATGAATTTCTCAGCTGTACTAAGATTCACATCATCTCTCGAAAAAATCGGCAGACTCGTGGAAAAGGTGAATGTAAATTCGAGTCCGCATTTTCTTAACAAGAAGATTAACAAGGAGATAATAAATTTGAACAATTTCGTTCCCCTTATAATACAGGGTGTTCAACCACCCCTGGGAAAAATTTTAATGGGGGATTCTAGAGTCCAAAATAAGACGAAAATCAAGAATATCAATTTGTTAATTGAGGCTTCGTTAAAAAATTATTAACGCTTAAAGTTTCATGTCGACCGAAAAATTTTTCGGCGAAATTAAAAAATTTCAAATTATTCTGGAAAAATTATTTTTGGTTGCGGGGCTCAATTACAATAATTTTTGGTGAATATACATACCCCCGAAATCCTACCCACTTTCGAGAAAAAAATTCGAGTAGGTACTGAAATTTTTAGACGAAATTAAAAAATTTCAAATCATACTAACAAAATTATATTCTGTTACAGGGGTCAATTACAATCATTTTTGGTCATTACGCATACCCCCAAAATCCTACGCATTTTCTAGAAAAAAATTCAGTACGGGCGGAACTTTAAACGTTAATAACTTTTTAACGAAGCCTCCATCAAGAAATTAGTATTCTCGATTTTCGTCTTATTTTGATCTCTAGAATCTCCCATTAAAAATTTTTCCAGGTTACACCGAACACCCTGTATACGAGAGAGTGAACAATTTTCCCTGCTTATTTTATTTTCAACTTTGTTTAAAAAGAATCGAAGATTTCATCTTATTACACTTAATTTGTGAGAATAAATTCTGTAATGATCATAAAATGTTCTTAATGTTTTCGCATAAAATTTACATACAGTGGAATTCCCCACTGTACCAACGAGGAGTTAAATATGTATCCTGCTATTTTTTTAATTATCAATAACTCGATAAAAATGTATATAAAATTACGTTAAACGATCAAAATAATACGATTATCACTAAATATTATTTATATAATATGCTTGATTATACTACAATATACTTAATATTAAACACTATTTACCTAACAATTATATTTGAAGAGGTCAATTTTTTAATATATTCCGAAAGTTTAATTAATTTATGAGTGATTTATGAAAGTGAATATAAAATTACAATACTTACACTATGGACAATGCGTGGGCACGCATGTAGGCGTGTAAGTATTTATTTACATTTTTGCAACATAAAACTCTTTGCTTTCAATGTCATTACAATTATGTTTCTTTCTGTAAATGAATTTAGTGATGAAAAATCCAAGGATAGTGGAATCTCAGAAGTCGCGTATATTAAAGCGTGACATGACCGGAAATGAGACGATAACGACACTGTGCTCGGTCCAGTTATCCACCGGACAAGAGAAGATACAAGTTAAAAGAAGAACTAAGCGTTTCTTTGTGCGCTGTCAAAGTAACGCAATAACAGTAAAGCCATTTTCTATATTGTAAAAACGGTATATATATTTATTCAATTATTTCATAATTTCATTTACGCAGCTTTAGATCTTTGTTATATTAACATATATGTATATTTCATTGATTGAATGTTATAAATGAAAGCGTTCGAATACTTTCGTGTATGAGTGTATTTTTACAACGGACGTTGTAATATCCGTCGTAACGCGCATCGTTTCAACGCTTCTGTATCCCCATCCCAAAGAAGAGGGATCGTGTTGCAACATAGAGATTTAAAACGTTTCGCTGCGATGTGCCTGCGCCATGATCTAAGTTTATTCAATTACTGCTGCAACTGTGCTGTATAGCAACCGAATAACCATGGTGATGTAAGACTTGTTTGTTTATTTTAATCACTTGACCGATAACGTAAAGCATAACATTTTGTTGTTGAAATAGATGCGATTCTTTCGTGTACATATAGGCAGTGTTGGGCAAATTTTATTCTCGAATAACAGATAAAATTGTTAGATTTAATATTTGTTTAAAAAATGAATTAAATGTATACAGAAGTTAGTACTAATTATTTATTCCGCTTAAAAAGTAAATAGAAGTATTAAATAGTTCGATGATTTGTCTTTTATGTTACAACATTCTCGATTACAGTAACGTTATTTAGCGTATTTAGTTAATTGTAAGCGTTTTAAATAATCAATTAATTAGTCGATAGTGTAAAGTATCAACAAGAATCTAGAACTAGACCCCTCGTAGAGAATGTTTCTTCTAACTTGTATTAATTCCAGTATCGTAAGGTTATAGTAAAAAAATAATAGCGATAAGACGATCCCTTTTTTTCCGGTAAAATTATGTCATGGATAAGAATATCGTGTCGTGCCTGCAAATGGACCAAAGGAGGTCAACTATCATCAGTCTAGTTGTTCGATAAACGCGATAAAACGATTTCGCAACAAAGTTGTTAATGGTATTTACCATTAAACACAAATACTTTTCGAACGTAAACTTTCAAATGAAGCCACTTTTAAGACAATCCGACGACAGTTTCGATAATGGAAAAGACCCACAATTCGTTCGGATCAACGTACCCAAAACTTTCCCTGTCGGACGACCACAAAAAGAAGAGTAAATACTTCATTACAAGCAACCATTATTTGAGAACGTATTGGAAGGTTTCTGTCATAGATTAACGTAAACATTAAAGAATTATTTTGTTATGAACCGGATCCTCTCGAAGTAAACAATAATCAGAAAATATCAGTAGAAAATTTTAAACGAAAAATTTGGTTCAACAAACAGTGGCATACAATCACTTATAACCGGTTTGTAAAAATTCACAAAATGGACAGTACCCTCTTACGGTTCGGTTAACTTTATTTTAAATCATGTGTAAGATTGATGATTAATGATGATAACGAAAGATTCAATGTACCCTTGCTTCGTGCAAATCGATTGAGATACATTTTCAGAAATAGCAGGATAAGCGTCAACAAGTAACTACCCTTCTGCTCGAGGGGCTGAAAGTACAAAGCTATTTACCATCTATGTTCGTTGATGGTGGAGTCTCGCTGACCACGTGGTATGTGAGGAATAAGCACCAGAGAAGAGAGCATCCAACGTTTTTTACACGCATTTCGAATCGATAAGAACCGCGTACGACAAGTACCGACGAGCACATCGAATACACTGTTCCAACTAAGGCAAGCCTCGAACGGCGGAAAGCAAGTCCGCCGCTACTCCCACGCTTTTTGAACGAAAGTTACTATCTTCGACGAGTACGTTCGGCGGTCAGTTATTTGCTTTCTGTTTCAAAATTCTCGCAGGCATATTCAAACGATGAAACAACGACTGTTTAAACGCTATCGAATTCGCATTTTCATTGATTTAATAACGACGGAAATGGCAGGAATCGCGATGTGTATTGTACTGCATGTGTTGCATATGCACCAACCTAACTTGCACTTCACTGGAATTGCACTCTGAATCAAAGACACGTACAGATACTTGCAATTGAATACAACTTTTATATAAGGTTGTCTTTAATAAATAAGGGTAACGGTCATTTGGAATTCCAGGTTTAAGCAGAATCTTTCAACAATGTGGACGTATTTTGATACTTAATATAGGATTGAAATAAAAGAAAATTTTAATCATACCTTTGTAATGTTTGAAGTTTCAAAAACAAAAGCCATTTGCAAAATAACAATTAAGAAACGTTAAAATCTTGTCCCGATGCAACAATCACACGCTTATCGACCACATGGTATGCGTGTATATGCGTGTAAAGATGTCGCTTTATAATGCGTTCGCATGAATCATCGAAACAGAACACGTGAACAAATTCGTAACCAATAAGAACGGATTTTGAAGTAACCAATGAAATCTCTTTTATCAAACAATTTCTCTTACTATGGTTTGTTTATATTACTATTTGTTTATGAATTTACTTTATTGATTTAAAAGAATAAACTATATTTCGAAGTTAGTGATTGTTATGTATATTGTAGAACACAAATGATTTTACGACGATTATTTCACATATAGTAATACCGACATATATCAATGTGATTCGAGTATACTTGTGGCGCCACCGTCGCCGGTGCAGGTCGCGCCCACGGAGCCGGAAGCAGGAACTAAAAACGGTACCTGTGCTACTGCTACAGTGCCTGTGCCCGGTAGCAACAATAGAAACCCAATTGTTAATCAGGCCTTGTTCGCTAATCGACACGGTTACAATAGTAACGACCCAAAAAAAGCATTTCTTGCAATTTTAGAATATTTATCTATTCTAGGACAAACTGTTACCGCGTCAGGAAAGACGGTAATGATGAACGTACCCTTAATCGCGATACCCTCTTCAGAAGAAGGAAGCAAAGGTGGTATACTTTTGGAGAAGTAAACGTTCAGACGCATAACGTCTATGAATGTTACGTTTCACCTGAAGTCACCCGTAGAAGAGTAGAGGCTAGCTGGGACACAAAAATAGTCCCCCCCCCCTGGATGAAAAGTTGCTCCCTGAGGGACTTACAACAACAGACAATTTCCTAGGGTTCAGCAACGTCGATATACTCAATGCCGACTCAAAGACTGTTCTACAGGTCATTATCCATTGACGACAGGCGATTTCCCATTGACAAACAATCGGAAGGACTGGAGACGCAATTACAATATAGTCCGCAAATTATCACCTTGGTCCATGAAGTCCTAAACTCTGTCTACGAAATGTAAGATCGGTTCGGTCCGAGTAGTCTGGAAAATAATTCCTGGACAGCACTCAACTATGGTCATCAAGTGCAATGGACAGAGAGTTGAGCAACATGACATACTTCTTTGACTTGAAGAGGAGAAGAACTGAAAGTGCCCCTGGTTTATGTAGGCTTGATGCCAAGGGTAATCCGTTCCCTGGTTAGATTACCTCCAGGAATGCAAATTTTGAATGTATAGAAAATTTTTTACTGAGACGTAGTGTTGTTGCACCAGATTCACGAGACGCCAAGTTTGTCGCCATCACCAGTTGCGCCGCTACCAGCTCCACGAGTTCGTCATTCGGCTTTTCGTTGTACTGTTATCGTTTTGCCACTGCTTTGTAATTCCTAATTGTCAGCGTTGTCTTGTTTAATTGTTATCTTGTTATAATAAATCCACCTGTTATCTGTTGTTAACGGCGTTTGTCTAACCCGCCTTGTGCGCCAATCCGCATGCAACCCAAGAAGAAATAGTCGCGACTTAGGAACCTGACATATTTACGTACCCTTTACAACGATACCTCGAGATTCGATTTTTGTCTCGTACCACCCAACAGTATTCTGTTCAAATATGTTCGAAGAGTCACCTTTGCACGGCGCGTTTTCTTCATCGTCTCGTGCCGAACTAAAACAAACTTCCTCGGCCGACACGACGTGATTTACATAATTTAATAACAGGACACTAAACAACAAGTTTCCTTCCTTGCTCAACATGACTTCCGTACACAGTACACACGGTTGACAAAATTGTTGATTTAATTTATAAACACTCTTGGAGCTCTTTCGAATGTTAATAAAGATATGCGTTTAAATGTAAAAGAGAAAAAATGTTTTGTTACTTCTACTTTACCATGAGTAAATTTATGAACAAAGTACTAAGCATTATGCGTGGCCGATGAACCGAAAGAACTAAATCGATCCAGCTAGATGATCGAATTATTTATAAGTGAAATGGGAATTCGAAAGCGCGACGGATTACAGTTTTTGTTAAGTAAAAGAACGATCGGGTACTGTAACCGCGTATCTTTTTCTTCTTTCCACTTCCTATAATTTCAAAACATTTCTTTATAAAAAAAAAAATTGAAGATCCAAAATATGTACGCATTATTCATAAATCTAAAATTTACATTAAATCTATTGCAACACATCGTGCAACATTTTCTTAATCTGTCAACTTTAGTACCTAAGATTTCTAATCGCGAATTGCAGAGAAAATTATAACCGTGGAATAATAAGGGTTATCGTGTATGTAGGTAATTAAGTTAGCCTGGAGAACCAAACTAATGCCCAACAAATCGGATTAAGTCGATTTAATATGATTACTGGGGCAGCAGGATAGACAATGCTGAGGCTTCCTTCACGTTTCGATGGAAATTTGTTCACCAGTGTTCGTAGATTCGTCATCGTTGGTGTTTCGTTTCCAGTTTTGTAGCAATTTCCAAACAAAGCAAGACACGTCAAAAAAATGGGGAAAGATGACTCTGAAACGGTAGCCTTGAAAAAGGAACTAGAAGACTTAATCAACAAATGCAAGGTTGTATCAGAAAAAAAGTACATACAAAAAAAAAATCGCTAAAACTCGTAACTGATACTTAGTTTTGATTTAAACGAACAATCTTGCTTCATCGCGAGCCAGGAGGATCAAAAGAAACAACAGGACACGACTTTAGAAGAAGCGTGCAGCGGAGTGGCGGACGCCCCAAAGGTCAAATTATCTACAAAAAAGTTATTAAAGGGACACATCAACAAGGTGAACTCGGTGCACTTTAGTGGCGACAGTAGGTCAGTTTCGATCGTCGATCCTTTCATTCTCAAATCAAGCGTAACGTCTTGCATACGTTGAAACAAATTTCCATCGGCTAATCAGAAAGACCTACTCGTTTCTAGGCATTGCGTGACAGGTTCTTTGGACGGGAAACTAATCATCTGGGACTCGTGGACCGGAAACAAGGTTCAGGTGATCCCATTACGCTCAGCATGGGTGATGTCTGTAGCTTTTGCACCGTCTGGAAACTTCGTCGCTTGCGGTGGCATGGACAACATGTGTACTGTCTACGATGTGAATAATCGTGATGCTACAGGCTCGGCCAAGATCGTTAGAGAATTGTTAGGATATGAAGGATTCCTCTCGTCCTGCAGATTTTTGGAAGATAAGAGAATCATTACTGGATCCGGTGACATGAAAATGTATACTCGACGAACAATAACGACAGCTACTGATTAGTCTAAACTCACTGTATGATAATGTCAAAATTCTTTCAGCTGTATATGGGACTTAGAAGCAAACAAAAAAACAACAGATTTCTGTGCACACGCTGGTGACGTGGTTAGCATTAGTTTATCTCCGGATATGAACACATACATTACCGGATCAGTAGACAGGACATGTAAACTGTGGGACTTAAGAGAGGAAAATGCGAAGCAAACTTTCTTTGGACACGAGGCTGACGTGAACTCCGTTTGTGTAAGTATAAAAATCTACATAGCCATTTTGGCCGAATTATTTCTTGCAACGTTTTACAATCCGTTCACGGTTTCTGACGTCTTTGCGTCTTGCACCAGTGGATAAAACTTTACCAAATATGTATAAAATTTTGTACGTGTACAACGGTACCTTATTATTTTATCCACCAATGTATAACTGGGAACGACTTACAAAATTGTTCATCGACTTCATAGCATTTTGAATTACCTTGTGTACGGTTTGTCCAGTACCATCCTTCGGGGCATGCTTTCGTAACAGCCTCAGAGGACAAGACAGCGAGGCTGTGGGACTTGAGATCCGATCAACAGTTAGCCACGTTTAAGCCGCCTAATTCAAATCCTGGATATACGTCATGCGGCTTATCTTTCAGCGGTCGATTTATTTTTTGTGGATGTGACGACAATTCTATTCATATCTGGGATACATTGAAGAATCAGCACAATGGTGAGCTTTGTAGCTTGTATCTGAAATAATGGCAAAATTTAGACTCTTCCATAGCAAATAAAGATTCGTAATGTTCTTCGTTGATTGTATTTGAATTTATCTTTCGTTCGAAGGAGTTATGTCGGGCCATGAGAACCGAGTGACGTCGCTCAGTGTTGCTGGAAACGGGATGGCAGTTGCTAGCTGCTCTTGGGACCAGAATGTTCGAATTTGGGTGTAGAAGCTTGGTATAATTGTATCAGTAACGTTGCAAAGTCTTGAAGGAGATGAAATAAAAAAAAAAATCCTATTTTCTTCCTGTTGATATGTTTGTTCATGTTCGTGCTTCGCTATCCCCGAATTAAGTTTTTTTCATACAGGGAAAAGTAGATTTGCGAGAAGTCTACAAGAAAACTATATATTATACGTATTAAGTTAAATAAATACTCACATGATTAATTTATATGTATAAATATCTGTCGCATTCCTTATCCGAAGTACTATTACAGGATACGGGAACCAGTTTCGTTTTCAATTTCGTTTCCAGAAACGTAAAGATAGTTACTGGAACTTGATTCTTACGAGCACCTGGTTTCTTTTTTTTTTTTTAACTGAAAAGTAAACATTAGAAAATGATAAAAAATAAAATAAAATACAAAATGAAACGGATGAACGAATAACTGATTGCAAAATACAAATACGTTGATACGTTTTTTTTTTCCTTCATTTATATTATTTGTATGCATTTATAAATAGTGCACATGATATTCACAAAGAAAAACTGCGTCTCTAAACAGCGTATTTGAAAATATAGTTATTACATTTTCCTGAAAGTATCCGAGTCGTGGTAATTTTATTCTTGAGAACTCTCTATGGTAGCCTCGTGTTGTGATTTACAATTGCAACAATTTATTTCTACATTATACATATAACGTGTCTGTTTCGACGTTGCAAATTGGTGCTTTAAACAAAAGAAAAAAGAAGGGGAGTGAGAGTGAAAGAGAGACTTTCAGTTTAGTGACTAATACTTAAAGATTTGGTATTCGTTAGGCGTAAATCTTGACAATTAAGATGTGCTTCTTTAATATGGCGGCGAGCCTGTTCGACGCCGTAAACCTAGACCAGTAGCTACATTATCTGTATAACATAATACAAACACTATGTATTTGATATACATACTACTGTATACTTCAACGAATTGATCATTGAAATTCCTTCAATCGACAGCCAATGGAATTACACCCACCGTGTATCATCTTTCAATAAATAATTGTATACTAAATTAAGTAAAAGGGTAACAAAATCTTCAACAGATTTTCGTGAAAATCGATCGCAATAGCTCGTACTAAGGTACCTAACGTATAATTTAACGTAAATATACATTTAGCGGAGATTCGACGGAATAATTTAAGATAAAAAATCCATCTTAAAAAATCTTACAGTAATTATATTACGTTATATAATGCTTATGTACATTCGTTTGTCCTCGAAACGAAAACGCGTTTCCCACAGCTGATCGTAATGTGGAACGTTCCTATATTTTCATGGCAGATTAAATTAAAATCCATCGAGGTAAACTAAAAGAGCCACAATAACTGTGGCCCCTGCTTCTTTGGTTGCCCATTTGCTGGAATTGAACTGGGGTTCGTCGCCGTCCTTGCCACCAGGACTGATCGTGTACGAACCTGGTCTTACTAGCAACTGGAACGCGGTAGATGCATTCAGCTTTTTATTCGACTGGGTATCGATGTACCTACGAAAGAAGAACAGTTAATAATATGTAATTACTACTTGTAGCACAGAGTACTTACGGATACTTTCTGGTGAACTCCTCGGACGCAGCATACTTTATATTGGGGGAGAAAATCACCTGAGGATTCTGGTCTTCTGCCTTTATATTCATAGTTAGATTACTCACATCCAGCTGCTCCTTTGTCATAAGCTCTCCTGTGTCGAGGATTAATCTGCAAACATTAATACGTTTGTAGCCAAATATGAATTGGGCTACCCATTTATTCAACTACCATAATATTATTGTTTTCAATGCGTTTTGTTTACCTGATCGCATCCAGACGTATACCATAGAAAGCAACGTGCCACTTATCCGTTGTACTCTGTGGGATCTGATTGGCATTGATGTTTTGCTTCAATGGAAACCTGGTCCAACCAATTGGTACAGCGAACTCGGCTGGCGGTTCGCCTTTCTTACAAACTGCACTATCTTCGTCTATTTTGTAACATGCGCTACAGTAACACAACACGTCGTCCAGAGAGAAGAACTCGTCTGGCAGAACCAACGATTTCTTTAACCTCATGCACGCCTTTAAGTATTCGCACTTTTTCGAGGGTACGGAGTTCGTTCCGAGTGGTGTGGACGGTAACGATGGAGCTTGCAATAGTTGCAATGAAGGTGCGTTGCAAGGGGGGGCTAGGTTTTGTCCTGAGAGAGTCGTGTTTCCGCCGACGGAATTGTCGATGGACACGGTGTTGTTCCAGGACATGTTCGAACGTACATCGTTGAAATTAGAAGAAACCGTATTAGAAATGTCGGAGGTCGCGTTGCTCAACGTATTCTGAGACGAGAATGTCTGCGACGAACTTAACATGTTGGTCGATGCGTGATTCTGATGCGTGGCACTTATATTATTCCCTTGACTATTGGACGCTATGCTTTCGTTTATCGCGTTGTTACTGTTCAAACTAGTAATGTTGGTGGTGCTGTTCGCGTTTTTAATATTAATATTAGTCGCGTTATTTATCTCTACATTTGTACATTCGTTCCTAATGATCGAGTTCTCGGATTGGCTGTTCGATATCGCGCTATTGTTCAGCTGGTTCGAGTTGTCGTAACTCTTATTCTTAATGCTTCGTGTATCGTTGGTCACATCTAAGCTTGGATCCAAATTATTGCTGTCGGACACACTGGGAGCCGCTTTGTTTTCAATGCTATTTGTTAAATGCGCATTGTCATTATTGCACGTCGAATATTCTACAATATTATCGTCCTTAACGTTCGAACTGCACGGGCTGGGCACACTCGGTGACGTGGAAGTAGACAGATCCGAACACGTTGCAGCAACGATGTTCTCCTTTTCGTGACACTCCAGGTCAGCCTTCTCCCTTGAATTTTCTGCGTCCTCCAACTTCGTTCTGATACATTCCATCGACGTTACAGTCGCAGTATTGTCGACAGAAGAAGACGTAAATGTCTCAACGTTATTTCCAACAACGGAAACCTGTTCACACTGACCATACAGGTCAAACACAGCGTAAACATAGGGGGGCAAGTCCGTTGCGGCTACTCCTTGATCCACACTATTAATAATTAAGCGTAATCTATTTTCTTCGTCGATGAACAAACCTATTACAGAATTGCACTGTAAACCTTCCAAAGCAGCTCCATACTTTGTTTTTACCTGATAAGATAGAATAATATTTTATTCTTTATTTAACCTTTTCGGTACTAAGTAGTAAGACGAGAAGTCGGATTTATTAATTTTATAGAGAATCGATTAAAAACGCTTACCCTGATACCGTTATGCGATATCCAATCGCTACAGATGATCCACGAGTGTTTTTTGAAACCAAGAGCGGTCAAAGGAAAGTTAGCCTTCTCCGGTGAGATGCAAGTCACACCGCAAAGAACATTGGAAACCCATCGTTCATTTATCTTTTCTATTTTTACTAAAAATGGCTTGCCCTTTATTAAAGGACGACTAGACATTACCACTCCTTAAAAAATGCAATGTAATGTAGAAAAAAGTTTAAAAAAAGAAATGTAAGTACAAGCACTAGAATCGACCGTACCCTGATTATAACTCGCAACCCTTTTTGCAACAGTTTTGGACTCGAGTTGTATATTTCTTCCATGATTTTCATGAAACTCGTAGTTCCAATCGCTTTCTCCTACCAAATGGGAAGTAGGTTGCGTTGGCGTAAGCGTTATATCATTGACTAATTTTCCTTCGGATACATCTACAGACGTATCCATTCCAGCGTCACTACGAACAAAAAAATAAAATCATACGTTAAAGAATCACCGATAAATATATAGAAAGTAGCTTGATAGAGACTTACTTGCGCAAAACAGGCGGCATGGGATCTAGTAATAACTCCAGAGAATCTTGCAACTTCAAGCTGGCGTTTGGCGATACTGCGGTATTTTGTTGCTTGCTACTCGTAATATTCACAGCCACGGTACTGCCAAAAAGCTCGATAACAGCGTACACCATTTCTGGTATGTTTGACGCTGCCACGCCCATGTCCTCGCCATTTATGTAAAACTTTAAATAACCCTCGTGCGTGCGTTTCATTCCAATTTTATCGCCTACGCGTAACCATTCCAAGCTTGGACAGTAATTCATACACAGAACATACCCGTTGTGTCTCACTTCGTCACCTAAATATACAAAATTTTATGAAAAAAAAAATCCAGAAAACACCAACATGTATTATTGCACAATTACCTGTCAAGTACCAAGCATCGACTGGAATACATCCCATACCAGGTACAAGGTTCATAGACGTTAACCAATTTCCATTTTCGTTACTTGTAACGCCTATCCTCAAGCAGCCACTCCATTCTCGCGCGACTTCTTGAATGGAAATTTCGAATATCTCGTTATTCTCTAATGGTGTCTCGCTTAGCAGTATAGCGTTATTGTATTCCCTACACCTAGTCGCTATTGTTCTATCGCTGTTCAACTGAACGTTTAAGCCAACGGACTCATGAAACTTGTGCATAATTTCTGTCTGAGCTTGAAGTTGAATCACGGATGTAGGCTGTTGACTAGTGCTATTCTCCGATGGTAAATACTGTTGTGTCATGGGATCTCTGCGTTCGGGTAGCACAATCGTGACCTAAGAAATTTATACGTGCACGCGTTACAGAAAATGTAGTAAATTTTAGATAAAACTATCAATTTTTAAATCGTAATAATCTAAAATATAAAATCATCGCTGTCACGCATATGTGACGTTTGTTTCTCATGAAAATTAAAGCATCACACATACATGATAACGTACCTGAACACACTGACCATACAAATCAATCACAGGATAGACGTGTGGTGGTAAGCCCGTGCAAGCAGGCCCTTGATCCACTCCGTCTAAATAATAATGCAAGCTAGTATCTGAACATCGCATCATACCGATACGATTACCCTCTGCCAATTTGTCCAAATCACAGGCATAATGATTTCTCAAAGTTGCGCCGTCTCGCATAACGTTAGAACCAGACAGCATCCAAGTATCGTGATCGATGTCCGTCATTGTGGATGGAAATTCCAATTCGTCGGGCCTTATGACGGTCACGCCTGTAAGATTCTTTTGTTCGTATCCTCGAAGCAAACAGAAATAGCGATACTTTTAAATATTTACCAGCTTCGATCGCGCCGGTCCAACGATCGACCATTTTATCGATGGTCACCTCGAACATCTCACCATCCCGCAGCGCACGATTCGCTATTACGATGGCCTCATTGAACTCGCCTAAAGCTCTAGGCCTCAACGCGGTCAATCCGTTGTTTATTATCTTTGCATTTTTACCGTGTATGTGATGAAACCTTAAGTCACTGTTTGTAATACAATATAAATAAAAATCTTGAATTGATAACAAATACAACTTGCATGGTAAGACCTCGCCTAACGCTACACCGTTAATGTTGTATTGTTTCGTTTAATGCTCTAATTTTATGGACGTATCCGCAGCTTTAAACGGGATCTTACTGTACTTACTTAAAAACGAACAGCGTTTACAAACCTATACAAAGTTGTATTGCTAAAACTTGAATTATTTGTTGTAGGGCTATATAAGTCTGCATTGTCAACTATAGTTGCCTGTGCCGCCTGACCATAAAGATCTATAACGCCATAAATTCTTTCGGGCACATTCATTGCAGCAGCTCCTTGGTCAGCTCCGTTCACGTAAAAATGCAACGTCGCGTTATCCTTTCTCATCACGCCTACACGGTCTCCGACTTGCAGTCGATCGAGGTTCTGACCGTACTGATCTATAATGGTAGTGCCATTGTGCATTACTCCATTTTCTGTCATCATCCATGTGCCGGATCTGCAAGGGACATGACCACCTTCGAGCAATAACATGGGCGATAAACTTAACATAAATTCGAGATGATACAAGCATATTAACTCAAACTGGAAGAATTTATTTACATACCTAACATTTGTCATAGTGAAAGGGAACTCCAGTTCGGTTGGAGAATGAGTGGTAACCCCTATCTCGATGGATCCTGCCCACTTTGTCACAATTTTGTCCAATCTAACTTCGAACAATTCATTTAATTTCAGCGGTCTTGAAGTTAGTACAACGCCGTTGTTGAAATCGTCCATTATGCTACAAAATAGGAATGCGCAAACACCATAAGAAATTTTCGAGGATAAATATATTTTTTTTTTAAATAAAATTTGTTTACTTAGGCCTATGCGCTGTGCGTCCATTATTAATCACTTCCACGTGCGTACCACAGCAGGAATGGAACATAAGTCTATCCGGTGGTTCTTCTTCCGTTTCTAGAAAAGAAAGACATTCAAATATAACACTTTATTACAATAAATGAATAAAATATGAAATGCTTATCTTACCATTTAGGCCTTGCAGTTGCAAAGTGTTTCTTCTAGTAACTAAATTTTGTTCTTCCCTTTCATCTCGATCCACGATCGTAACTTTTACCGTCATACCATAGAGATCAATAACACCCCATACACCTGTAGGTATTTTAGCAGCAATACCTTGGTCTAAACCATTTATTAAATAATGAAGATTCCCATTGCTTCGTCTTATCATGCCTACCCTGTCTCCTTCCTAAATATAAACGATTTATTAACACGTTATATCTAATAAAAAATTTGTTAAATTATCCATATCTTACCCTCAATTCATCTAAGTTAAATTCTCCGTATTCACGGCAAGTGCCCTTTCCATTTACCAAAATCCCACAGCCAGACATCATTGTTGTTCCTGACCGCATGTTAGTCATTGTTGCAGGGAATTCCAATGCTGTAGGACTATGCATAGTGACTCCAACTTCTATACTGCCCGACCATTTGTGCACGAGTCTGTCAATTCGTACCTGCATACATGCATTCTGTTATGAAGTTCTTTTTATTAAAATCATTCATTATTTCTCATTACTGTTTGCTTACTTCAAACAATTCATTGTCCCTTAATGGTCTATGAGTCATTACTACACCATTATTAAATTCATCTAAAGGTCTCATCCTTTCAGCAGTTCTGGCATTGTTGGATAGTTTTACCAGTGTACCAACCCTCTCATGAAACCTCAGTCTGTCCTCTCTAATAGCAGCAAGACTTGGATTCTTGGGTAAATTAACATTTACATTAACATTTAAATTAACATTCAAATTAGCGACTAGATTAGTTGTGGAGGAATTAGATGTTTCCCCAAGAGCATAATCATTATTAATTTCAACTTCGTCCTTTGGCTTGTTACATACAACAGAGGCAATTTGCGTGTGAGTTATAGTAATTTGTGTACAAGCACCATAAATATCTACGACTGCAAAAACACGTTCTGGGATATTGGATACTGCCACACCTTGAGAAACTCCATTGATGTAAAATATCAGCTCGTGCTAAAATTAAAAGAGAATAAAATAAGTCGTTGAAATTAGTATTAAATATCATTGGAAAACTTACATTAGATGTTCTCATTAATCCCAAAGTACTTTTTTCGCCTAAAGAGTCCAAGTTTGTTCCGTACATTTCTACTATCCTTATTCCATTGTGGACTATATCGGAGATGGACATAATCCATGTTCCTTGACAAAGGTTGGTAGCACAGTTTGGCAGTTCTGTAATTTCTGGATCAAATTCTGTTACACCGATCTGTATGCTATCACTCCATGATATCATCTGTATAAAATGGATAAAATGTTTATCATAATAATTAAATTCAACACGAAACTGATATATTTTCAAATGAACTCGAGCATTGAGTTGCCCCATTCTGAATAAAAAAGAATGATTTACAATCAAAGTTCGCGCGTTTACAGAACGATCCGTCAACGACAAGTCGCACGACAGTTTTTATTGCAAAAGCAGCGAACAACTGAATCGTAGTATGATTAATGTTAAACAGAAAACATCAAAGCATGAACGCTGTAAATAATAATTTGACAGATCAGGAGAACCCAGTAGCGGGTAGATGTAAACGGGACTGGTTTTAGAGCTTTCAAATTCAAGTACCTTCTTGTCGATTCGGACTTCGAAAAGTTCGTCATTCTTTAATGGCTCCGCGCTGAAAACCAATCCGTAATTGTAATCCGAATGATCCCGTACGGCCGTGCAATTGTTGTTCGTTAAAGTAATATGATGACCGCATCGTTGATGAAACATGTCGACCATTTGTTATGCACCGACCGTCGCATGTAACCAAACCATCCATCTCCCCTCACCCCGCCGTCATCTTCCGTCTCTATTCACCCCAAGCCTTGTATCGCTTGTGTACACGCTGTCTTGCTCTTCCAGACTGTTCTCCTTTATGTGTGCATGCGCGCAGGCCCCGATGATGAGAAGTGTAACTTTACCAACGAGATAGGGACTCTCTTGTGTCCCTTCATTGGTTAAAATTAGCAATAGGAATATATGAGATGCTATACTAAATAGGAGATGTTGAAGTGAATGAAGAATGGAGTGTCGAATATGTTAGTTCAAATCAGACCTGAATGAAATTTATTTCAAGTAGTAATTTAGAAATCGTTTCAAATAATGTTAATTCGTATTTCGTAAAGAATGTATTTCTTCGTTTAACCAATTATGTCTAAATAGATTATTTTTCTTTCAAATTAATTTGACGATTAATTTTAAAATAATGTATTTTGAAAATTTTTCAAAACGACCACATCTAGTTCAAATATCGACTACTGATCTTCGAGACTAGTGTGGCCAGATTTCGCATAATAATTGATCACTCCACTCAACAGTACTGCTCCGGTGCTCCCCGCCACACTGCTGCACATTGCGCTGGGTCATACTGCCCCACGCTGATAGAATGGATTTACCGTGATTAAAGCTGCAAAATTTGTATTATAGCAAATATATTACTAAAAGTATTTAACAATAATATTAAAAGGATTTTCACTTTTTTTCATTATAGTGAAGAAAATAAAAAAAAATATGGTTTTATCGTGTAGCGTGAAGAACGTAAATAATCCGTCTAACCTTTTCAAATTTGTTACGAGTGTGAAACGTTTTTCGCAATAGAAATGGGAACAATTGTATAGAAACTGTTTCATGTTAAATAATTATGATGGATTTATTGATAATTATTAATTTCCACGTGTATAGATGCAAAAGAATTTTCAAAAAACCTTGAATGTTTTTGAGTACATCGAATGTATATCGTGTATCATTTTGTCGTATAAGTTATAGTACTGTACGGATGTGAAAATGAATACAGTAAAACATAAAATATGGTTTGTAATATGTTAATAAAAAAAATGGTTCTACCTTCACACGTGTCTATTTAATATTAACAAAAATCCCCTTAATAGATACTTATATATATTTTACGCTTTTCCAGCATGGTCTCTGACTTTTTTTATCCCAACATGGGTGGTGTGGAGGAGCATATTTTTAATTTGTCTCAGTGTTTACTGGAACGTGGACATAAGGTTGTAGTGCTTACGCACTCTTATGGGAATAGAATCGGAGTACGATATATGACAAATGGCCTAAAAGTATGTATGTATACAATTTACTAATAGAGAATGTTTGTTTTTACTTCAAGATTATATTGTCTCTTCTTTAAGGTGTATTATATACCAGTGAAGGTCTTCTACAATCAATGTGTTCTTCCTACAATGATTTGCTCCATTCCTCTCATTAGATATATCTTTATAAGAGAAAAGATTCAAATAGTACATGGTCATTCTGCATTTTCTGCTCTTGCTCATGAAGGAATGCTAATCGGTAGATTAATGGGACTGAAAGTAAGTTGATTATTGTTTAAAAACAAAACTATTCATGGTTTAACTTAGTATTATATTTACATTTGGAATTTCAGACTATTTTTACAGATCATTCCCTTTTCGGATTCGCGGATGCATCTGCCATCTTAACGAATAAATTTCTAGAAATATCGTTGGCCGATTGCAATCATTGTATATGTGTATCACATACAGGAAAAGAGAATACAGTGTTAAGAGCTAAAGTCCAAAAAGAGAAGGTCTCTGTTATACCAAATGCAGTTGATACTACATTATTTATGCCAGATATCAGTAAACGAAATGATAACTTTAGTAAGTTCTCTTTTATATTTGTATTTACTTCAAATGACAGAATGTTACTAACGTTGTCGATTATTAATTGTAGTTACAATAGTCATAGTGTCGCGATTAGTATATCGCAAAGGCGTCGATTTATTAGCTCGCATTATACCCGATATTTGTAGTCGACACGAGGACGTACAGTTTCTGATTGCTGGAGATGGTCCTAAAAGATGGCTTATAGAAGAGGTGCGAGAAAGAAACTTGTTACAACATAGGGTCACTTTACTTGGAAGTTTGGAGCATTCTGAAATTAGGCATGTCTTAAATAAAGGTCACATCTTTTTGAACACTAGCCTCACAGAAGCTTATTGTATGGCAATCGTTGAAGCTGCCTCGTGCGGGTAAAGTATCGAATGTAAAGTCTAATACAACATCTGACTATGTAATGTTTGTTGATATTATTTTTATTTATTGCAGTCTTCAAGTGATCTCAACAAAAGTTGGAGGCATACCTGAAGTATTACCTTCAGATTTAATTTATTTAGTAGAACCTACAGTACCTGCCCTTATTAAGGGGTTGGAGTCTGCCATAACAGATTACAGAGAAGGTAATACTAGGTGTCCTTTTGAAACACATAAAAGGATAAGTTTGTTTTACAACTGGTTCAATGTAACTAGAAGAACTGAGATAGTGTATAATTTAGTAAAACAAGAAAACAGTAAAAATTTAGGGGAACAATTGGCAAGTTATGTTCAAAGTGGAGTGTTAGCATACTTGCTCGTTATATCGTTGTGTTATATTATTTTACAAATTTTAGAATTTCTTGTTCCAAGAAAGGTAAGTCATAAACTTTATAATTGAACTATTCTTTCATTTGCTGACTGACAATCAAATGTTTCCAGTACATTGACATTGCAAAAGATTACACAGAGATAAACGTTATTCATACTCAGAGTGAAGGGAAACAAGAGTAACTTTTCATCCGTAAAACCTAAAGCAACATTCAAGTTCTTTGTGTATTTTTTTATCAAGTAACATCCCTACCAACTTGTTTACCAAATCGTTCATAGTGTTACTTTTAATGCATCTTCCCACGCCAGAGGAATAATCGAATGTTTGCATGTATATATAATTTTTTGATGAAATACTTTCATGTTGTATAAACGTGTATCTATAAACAAACAAAAAAATACAGTGTCCAAAGTATAAATATAATTGTTAGCGAGAAACAAGTCGATAAAAAGCAGTTTTTATTGTCACTCTCCTATTATCACAAACGCATTTCAGTCATACTGTTCGTAAAAATAGTTTCATACGTTTTTTTAGAGATTTTTTTTTATTATGATAGGTAACATCGTATGAATTGGTGTGTTCGTATAATATCGTAACAGTTCATAATTATAGTAGCCGTAACGCTTATTCACATGTAAAATATATTGCATCATTGACATTAAAAAATACCTATGTTATGTATAGGAATCGCTCGCATTTACAATTCATCATGTGTGTTTATTTATATAACATAATCCATGCAATATTTCGAACTTAGCGCGCCAAAAATACTGTGATAAATTAATCATATACATGTGTGTACCTGTACATATGTGTGTGCAATGTGACTTTGGTTTATATTTTATTTCATAACCACCGAGTTACACGTTCTATGAAATTTAGCTTAATCAGCTAAGTTTGTATGGAACAAATACAAAATTGTTTCTACAATATTTTCAGACAGAATTATTCGTTTTAAAATACTTTACAAATTACCTTTTAAATGTATGAAATTTTTGATGCTCCAAAAATAATGAATAAAAAAAAATGAAAAGGCTAAATTGAAAATATAATAATATTTATTTTTATTACGTTGTACGTTAGATACAATAATAATAATAATAATATTAATACAATATCAATCAATTATTTGTTTTCGCCTATTTAATTATCCTTGCATTACTGTACATTTATCTATTTATACATAAATCTTTCACGTAAGGGTCTGATCTTCTGCTAAGGACACTCTTGTTTTTTGTACTAAGAAGAAGATCAATAAACCTTATTAACAACCATTATAATTATTAAGAGCGGTCAGATCTGTCGCAACATTTTCCGCGCTTACGAACAGAGTATTCGTGTCGTTTTTTTTTATTTTCCTTTAGTCTAAATATTCTTAAGTCTGATTAAAAAAAGAAATGAAAAAATGAATGTTTTCAAACGTGCTAAAATTCTTTCCTTTGACTTCCCGTATCAGATGAGGTGGGGCTTGTACATAACATGTACACTTACAATTAAAATTTTAAAAAAGATTCTGCTTTTTAAATATTGCATTAATGAAATCTTACATAAATTCTTCGTTCAGCGGTTATCGGTTTAGATTGACCTTAGGTATTATTATAAGTATATGCCGACGAGAGTGAGATCTACACGTAGGCACACGCAGTGATCAATCCGGAACTTTCTTATGTGCTATGTAAGTTTCTCGAAGTCGACAATACATCGTTTCTAAACATTAGACGAGCTTACTTTCATATTCTTCATTTTTTCATTCTGCAGCAAAACAGGAGAATGGAAGTTCGTTTTTTCCCTTTATCGTACTATATGCAAGTACTATTTTTTTTTTTTTTTTGCTTTCTTTTCTTTTACGTCAGTGTATTTAAAGCGTTAAGAAAGTACAAGAGGTTTTCACTTCCCTTGTAAATGTCACTGCCACTGAGACAATTACAGTTGCCTTTAATAAGTATCTTTCGTTTTCCTCTCGGCTATATAATACAATACAATTGTCGCTTATATTCGTTCAGTCAAAATATTTTAATTGCTCTTATAAAACAGCTGATAAATCGGTCAAAAAAGGAATTTTTAATGTATTAAACATAAGTTATAATAATCGTCATTCTTCAAAACACAGCAATGAGAAGTATCTATGGTAAAGATCGTATTAACGCGATGTTGCGATATATATAGTAAAACATACTCGGTGCGTTCGGTATAGTCCAACCGCCGATGCACACCCACATAAACACTGTGTTTGACTGATGTCCAATCGATCAGGTGCACGCATATTTAACAAATTTGTTGTCGTCACTGAATACTTTTTTTTTTTTTACTTTTCGTTTGTGAGCACATACTGCTTTCAACTGCGATGTTTCCGCGTGTATGAGTTATCGATCGGCATATTACCTTTGTCGCGACGAATAATGATGAAATATTACAAAATGTATTCAATAATGTGTGTGTCTGTGTGTGTGGTGTTGTGTGTGTACGTATGTATACCTCGCAAATAGGAGAAGATGAGTGTGTCGTCTTGCATCTGTAAGGTATTTCTTTTCATTTGAGTTAATTATGTACAATAGAGTTCTTTCTCTTAAAGAGTGTCTTTCAGTTCCGTTTTAAGATGGAAATAATGCCACGCTGTGAAAATTGGTGTCCTAAGGCGCCCATTAATGCTCGAGTAAAGAATAGAACGAGAAACCAAGTTTTATCCTTATCACGCATAATGATACAAAAATCTTGTGTATGTGTAAATATATATATGTACGTATATATATACGTTTTTTTTATAGCGAAGTACTCGTAACAGGTTCCTTAGAACTGTAATTTGGCATCTACAATAAATAAATAACGAACCGTATTTGTCGGGCCAAGCGTCGCACGATTTCCATATGGTACCGGTCAGAACTATTCCGGGATCAATTCAAACACCTTCGCCATAATCGCGATCACCTACGTTGATGCGATCGGGCGCTGCGGTAACACTAAAGCCAAGGATCCTATTATCAACTTTGTACATTTTTCCTTTCTTTGGCTTTTTCGACTTCCCCTGAAAAATCGTTAAATTTAACTTTTAAAAATCTACATATATTTGTTAACTTATAAGGAAAGTGCAAAACCTTCATATCATCGATTTAATCTTGCACTCCCCTTCTTAAATACAGGATGAATCATCAGAGTCAGGATGTTGCAAAACAAAATTCGTATTGAACAATGTAATTATAACTGGTACTATCGAAATGATTTCAGTTGCATAGACCATTGATATTATTTATTTAACGATACCTTCACTTCCTGAAATTCCGCGGGTGCATTGGGATTAACAGCGGGTGCCGGTTTGCACAGGTCATCAGCTTGAGCTTGAGGTCGCTGGGCCGATCGCCATTTGCTACGTTTCTCTAAAAATTGCTTAGCAAATTCTGAATTCCGTTTGTCATCACCGAGGTAATCTCGTACGTATTCCTTCACCTCGTACGCTGACTCAATGTCTCGCAGGAAACCAACGAACGTGGGAACTGTGAATATAATGTATCCACGAGTGAAATCATAACAAACAAAATCAAAGGGGTAATGATGAGATAGATATGGTTTCAGTCGATACCAGTTAAGAAAGTACCATTATTTATTAACTCAAATTGCTTAAATATTACTGGTATGTATCGTATCGATCCCGTCACCACGAAGGGGGAAAGAAATTTCAGTGCAACTTACTGTCCACGGTCACCTGTAAACCACTCAGAGCTTTGTTGCACCATTGCGTGAAGTCGTCAGTCTTGGCAGTGTTCTGTTCAAACAATTTCTTTACCAGCTCCTCCTCCCTTTTATTTTTGCTCTTACTCGCCTTGTTACTTTGTTGCTGTAACTGGTTGGTCGTAGGAGCTTTTGTAGTTGCAGCTAGTTTAACTGGTTGCTTTGTGGTCGTAGAAGACTTGATCGGCGTGGGATCGTCCCAGAAACCACTGGTGCCACTATTGCTGGACCAAGCTTGACCACTACTGGACGTGCTTGAATTGGCCCAGTTCAAACACTGAGACGCAGTGCCCCAAATCCCGGCACTCTGCAACAGGCTTGCCGATTCTTTCTGGCCTGCCTTTTCTTGCCGTTCCCTTTCTTGTTGCTGAAGGATTAACAATAATAATCAGCGACGTGTCATTATCGTTCGATAATAATCACTGACCGATTATTAAATTTTTATAACGAAATCTCGAAGTAAATAAAAATTATTAATACTCTGCAATCCACCAAACAATGATTATACGAAATTTAAGTATAGAGAAAAGTTATAAGTACCTTTACCTTGGCGATGCGCTCCTGCTCTTCCTGCTGGATCTGCGCGAGATTCTTCACTTGCAGAGGCTTGATGGAGGCGGTAGCCTTCTCCGCCCACTTAAACTGCAATCTTTTAGAAGAATCGGCCACTGACGCTTCTTGAGCCGCTTCCATGACCTTCTGCTGAGCCAGCTGCTGTTGCATCATTTGTTGAAATCGTTGTTCCTCCTGCAATGGAATTTCTTGATTCAATGTACTGTCCACACGGATTAATAACACTTTGAAGGTAATTCTCACGCACAGCTTTCTTTTCTCGCTCGAGTCTCTGGATATCAGCAAAGGAAGCAGCAGGAGTAGCAGGAGCCGATGCACGAGGTGCCTGCGCCCAGGGTGCCTTAGTACTTTCTTGTAATTTACGAAGTGCTTCCGCCTCTCGTCGTCTTTGTTCCGCTCGACGAGCTTGTTCTTCTACTTCGGCTTGCTTACGCGCCTCTGCTTCTTTTCTGCAGCAACGAAAGTATATAATTGTATAAATATTTGAGAAATAGTTTACTTATACATAATTGTACGATAATAAGTCCATACCGCATTCGTTCTTCCTCTTGCTTCCGCTTTTCTTCCTCTTTCTTTTGTTTTTCTTCCTGTTTTTTAAGTTCATCTCTTCTATGCTTCTCCTCTTCCAGCTTTTTTCGTGAATTCTCTTCTTCTTGCTTCCGCCTCTCCTCTCGTTTCTTCTCCTCCTCCTTACGTTTCTTTTCTTCTTTCTTTTTCCGTTCTTCTTCCTGTTTACGCTTCTCCTCGTCTTTCCGTTTCTTTTCCTCTTCCTTCTTCTTCCGTTCTTCATCTTTCCGTTTTGCTTCTTCCGCTTGTCTGGCTTGTTCTTCCTTTTTCCGCTTCTCATTCTCTTCCTCGGCCTGTCGTTGTAATTCCTCTTGCTTTCTCAATTTCTCTTTTTTCCTATCTTCCTGTAGCCTAAGATTTTGTTCTTCCTGTAATATATAAACGTTTTAATTCTCTGTTCTATTTTACGAATAATCATGATTAATTTACTTCACGACCCACTCACCAATATCTGTTGTTCAGTCTTTATTTCCTTAGTATGTAAATCCCATAACGAGGCAGCCAATTGACCAGGAGGTACTGCAGGTATAGGTCCAACCTGTAAAATTTCGGATATTACTAAAAAGGACATGACATATAGACGTCGCTATATAACTTTATAAAAACGTTATACTTAATAACAAAAATATCAAACAGCATGGGTAAAAAATTCAGAATGGCACCGAAAGTGTTAAAATAAATTAGTATATACCTGTGCTAGCCAATTCTGTGCATTAAATTGTGGATTTATTTGTGGTGGAGGCTGGGGCCAAACAGTATCCATATGGGGCGTTTGTGGATGACCGTTAGCATTGACATTGAGCTGCCGTAACAAAGATTTTATGGGATTGTCTTCTTGCATTGCAGGTGGCGCAGAATTAATACTAGTTTGCTGAATTCCAGGTATATTCTGCACACCACCCATCTGCTGTATAAGTTGCTGTATGGGATCCACCGCAGGTGGATGGGGAGGAGTAGTAGGATGTGAATTTGACGGCAAATGAGTCTCTGGCTGCGTTTTAGCCTGTAAATAAACGTATCGTAAAAATGTGATATTATGGATATAGAGTCAAAATTTGACATTAAATATAGTAGACAAATGTTATGCGATTCAGTACTAAAACGTCCTACGTTTTGCACGAACCTGTTGCATTTGGGAGAAAAGTTGCATGACAGGATTTGAAGCTTGAGATGGAAGGTGTGGTACAAACGGGTTCGTAGAGATTGGCACCTCTGGGACCTCGGAATCTTGAAAAACATATTGAAAGATCAATTGATTCTGTTCGACAGGGCTCAGTGTCGCCCAGTGCTCGGACTGAGACAACTTTGCTATAGCCGAAGCCCGCATTTGTCTGAGGAGTAATTGTTGATTTTGTAGCAACCGCACTTGCTGGTATTGAAGCAGAAGAAGTGGGTCTTCTATACCAGCTTTTGGTAGCGTGGATATGCCAGCAGGTACTGTGTTAGGAACAGAAGATATTACCTGATCCGTTAACTGAAATAAGAAGGAACAAAAATAAACCTCTCTATATATATCCAATTCTGGTAAATTCTAGTTTCGTTAAAGGGTCTTTCTACCTTGTTGGATAAACAAAATCAATTCTTTATTAATAATATTTTCTACAATTTTGAAGTATTAAACATCCTCCTGCGGAGTTAGGTCAATTTCAATCAATACTATTTCATGTCAGAATTGAGATAAATACGTTATAAATGTATTCGTAAAGTTTTAACATTGAGACCTTCACAACACTTTAAATGAATATTAACAAATTTCCAAGGAAGCAAGAACGGTTCATACGAACGAGAAAGAAGTTTAAACAAGTTTTCGAGGAAGAAAAGGATACTACATAACGCTGAAATAGCTTAATTAATTATGAATCAAAAAATGTTAAATATCAGGGTTTCGACATGGCCAGATTATTAGCCAGATTCGAATCTCATTGAAAATCTTTAGGGAATAATTTCAAGAGAAGTTTGACAATTACAAGCAGTATAACTCTGTTTCTGAATTATGGGAAAAAGCAAATGAAGCGTGGGCGACATCCATTGAAATAGAAACTTACGAAGTGTGATTCTATCGATGCTTTTTTCGATTATATTTTTGACGTAATGATGTAAAATTAATTCTAAACTTAAGGGATTAAAAAGAAATTATTAAGTATGACCTATATTTTCGGCCAACAAGGTAAAAATTCCTCTTAAACCAGTGCTGTCCAGCGTAAGAGCCCCTGACGCCTGGTTCCCCTTCCAACCTTTCTTTCGCGCAGCATACGTTTAGTCGTCAAGGTAACTACGCGATGTTAAAGAGACGACCATGATAGGCTAGTAGTTAGCAGACACCATGCATGAGACATTTACTACATTCGTCCACGTTTCATTATCATGTTAACAACAATTGAATCCCGAGAGATACCTTTGGACAGCACTGTTTTAATAAAAAAAACTACAGAAAGATACCTTTAAGGGAGGAATAGAAGGCCCAGGCGTAAATGGTATTCTACCGCAGATCTTCATCAACTCCCCTAACGTGGTGTACCGCTCGTCACAGGTTCTCCTTACCATCAATCCTGCGGTGAAGTAACCGGCTTTACACCATTCCGCCATTTCGCTTGCTAAGAATGGACCCTGAACTTCACCCTGTGGATCACGGTAAAACCATTTCTCCTGTCCATTTGTAGATGGAACTGTGGATGATTGGTTACCAATGGAAGGCGGTACACTGGCAGTTTTCTCCCTATGACTCTCTTCGTCCGCCATCAATTTGGCCACTAACGCGTTCGCCTCTTCCTTCATTCTATCCAAATCGTCGTCGTTCTTCTTCCTTGCGTTTTCTGTCCCCGGACAGTGCACGACGGTCTTTTGAGGTTCTGTTTGCAACGGGACCTGCGTTTTCGTAACGGGATCGATCGGTTCCACCTTCGCCGCCTCCGTTTCTACCTCTTCCTTGACCTGCGTTTTACTGGGAGATTTATTATTTTCCGAATCGACTGGCGGTATTTTCTCAGTCTCGCTTTGTTCCGTACTTATTGTTACTGTGCTTCTCTTCTGAATGGTCTCAGTCGATGTCGACGTCGACGTATTAGCAGGCATGATGCCATCCGTCGTCGTGACAGACGCTTTCGTCGGAGAACTGTTTCTCCTTTCCCTTTCAACGGTCTCGTCTTTATCGAGTGGATTTAACGACTTCAGCCTTTTCTTACTGATTGTACTAGGTGTATTGCTGGAAACGCGACTCGTTGTTTGCCCCTGAGTCGAGCTATAAGATAAAGGTTTTCCACTACCAAGCTTCGTTGTACTAGTAGCACTTCCCTCGGAAACACGTCGAGTCCTTGATTCTTGAGTACCACCCGCACTAATCACTCCATCCTCGTCGTCGTCCGAATACATTCCGCCATGGAACGCACCCGAAGCATCGAAACTTCCACCGCTTTCGCTGGGATTTTCAGTGGCCCTGGAATGAATTTCAATTGAACATTTCAATATTATATCGGTTTCGGTATAGCTTTTATATAATACCGATATCAAGTCCCTACCCGCGACATTTTAACAATCGTTACATGACTCATAAGACGCACCATTCAGGAAGATTATCATGATTGTTGTCATGATGATTTGACTCCCAAGTGCGCGCGACGCGAGTAGGGGGGTGATGACTTGAATCGTGTGGAGCTCTGTGATTTCCACGATGTTCCCATCTCCCGCCACTATTCCGACCTTCTTCACCTTCACCTTCGCTTCTATCTAATCTATCCCTATCCATACTTCCACCTTCGCGCCAACTGCTTCTACCTAAAAGTAATATTTATTTTACCGATGACATAGTTCTTGTTTAACCCTTTCACGCGTACAACCATACATGTACGGCCGGGCTCTGATATATACCAAGTAGCGTACAGCCAGAGTTATTCTGGCCAAATTAGGAAGTGGTACTCATTAGAAGTATACTATGAAGTGTACACGTATGAGTATAACTACCGCAAATATAAACGCATTTTGAAGTGTACCACACAATAAAAGATTTTTAACACTTTGGAAACAAATATTCATCTGACACAGTACATTATAGTTTGGTTATCTTAATGCGTTATTGCATAATAATATAACAAATTTTCAGATTCCATGTTCATCGAAAACTAAATGAAATTCTCATTAATATTCGTATTTAAACATATAATTAAATATATATTCGATAAAAAGATTCTTACGTTACTAAACAAAATTTACTTAAAAACCGTGTGCATTTCCGAAAAAACACGCGTGAAAGGGTTAATCGAATCGCTTCGAAAATTTGTTATGTATATTCACCCCATTTACGCCAACCGTCGTCATCTTCTGTACTACCACGATAACGTCGCCAATTACCTTCCATAAGACAACCACCACTAGCCCCACGACTTATTTCCTTTCTAGGACTAGTAGAACCGTTCCACTCGGTCGGATCTATGGCCCCATTTCTTTCCGACCAACCGCGTTCACTTTGGGACCTATCGAACGGGCGGTTTCTTCCCTGGATATGAAACACAATCATTGATCAATTAAAACAGATGTACCACGTTTGTTCGTTTTAAAAAAATTATCAAGTTGAGTACTATATTTTTTTCGGCGATCAATGGTTTATTTTACCTACAAGATAGCTTAACCAATAATTGTCACTTTACAATTTAAACGCTACGTTCATATTTAATGTACCTTCCATCGAAGAAACAGTGTAAACTACGTACTTGGAACGATTGACTTTCGATTCGCGTACCATCTCCAGAATCGTCGAAACCAATTCCACGAGAATAATGAGACGAATACAAGCTACCTCTTCCACTCCTACCTCGCCCTCCGCGATCAACACTCCCGCCTCTTCCACGACTACTAATATTAATTCCTCCATTCCACATTCGCTGAAAAAATGCAATATGCGAACAATTAATTTATTCCGAGTTTAAAAAACAATTTGTGTTATCATTAAGTACATACTACTACTTAAACATGTACATGTAATACGAGTTTTCTGTACAAAGATTGTTAAATTTGTAACAAATGCATAGTAAGAAAAAACATGCAATAAAATGTAAAATGATAACAAAATAGTGATGATTATGTAAAGTATACAACAGTAGATAGGATAGTGCTATGAAGATCTAGCACAAGGGCTCCAGTATGTTATATTTTTAGATCCAAACTGACTTCACGAAACAGTGCTCAATATACAGGGTGGATTATTTAAATAGAAACAACAGAATATCTTGATAGTGTATAAATATATAAAAAAGTTATTTAGAACAAAGCAAAACTGTTTGAAAGAGCAAACATAGTGACCGGAAAAATATTTTCTGCTGTCATCTCTTTTAGATTTCAAAATCAAAAAATTTAATTATTTTCTTGAACAAAGCATGTATTGTATTAAGAAATTTCGGATGTCTTGAAGAGTATGGATTTTTTAAACACCTTTTTCTAATATTTTAATATACGGAATTACGAAAATTGGTTTATCTAAAAAATATGTATGGTTTAATTTAAAAAAAAAACTGATATTTAAAAATTTCGTAGAAATGATCTTTGAGAAATTTTTTAGTTTTACCATGTTTATCCCTTGAAATAGTCATTCTGAGCAATACAATTATTAAACAAGTATAATTATTATTTTAAATGATAAATAAACGATTATACAAAATATATCAATAATTTTTAAATCATATTTGTTTCCTTTAACAATCAGATTAGGTATTCTCTGAATATAGTGCTTTTTGGATGGGAGCATCAAACTCTATATGAGAATATATGTTTAATTACCGTTTCATCCTCTGTCATTTGTATAAGAGCCAAGGGAAGCTGAGTTTTCTCAACATATAATGTTGAAAAATTTGTCAATGGTTCAGGAGGTTTACAATTACGGTTAAACAGAACCAACATCTCTTCCCGCCCGTATCTATGTTCTGCTAATTGATAACGCGGGGTGGTTAAACTTGTAGTACCTCCACCACTTCCGCTACTATTGCAATTGTCTCCAGACAGATTGCGCAACCTGTATATTCATTGTACAATGTTAAAACATACAAATATGAAATGTCAAGTTATTGTATTACTAAAACATTACAAACCATTCTGGACCAAATTTCATAGAATCCGTCATGATAAGCTATTTGCTGAAAAAATAAAATCTTATTATATAAACATAGTCTTAATGTTCTATTTCATTATAGGAAGAAGAACGATGCAATGTGTGCTTAAATTGCTTTAAAATTATATTCAACAAAATAAAATCGGTAATTAAGAATTGAACACTATTAGACTGCTTGTGAAAAGAAAGAAACTGGTAAGAGAAATTTGTATCATGTACTTTGCAAATGGAAAAATTGTTTCTCTGTTTTGCAGAATTGCATGACAATGACTGCAGATGTGCAAAATTGCAGTTGATCGGTGCACCCGTGAAAAATCGTGTTGATGACTTTTACCTGTTGCTCAACGAAAATCGAACAAACCATGTGCATTAAACGCCGACACTGGTGACGGTGGCGAATGATATGTTATTTTCGAAAAGCAACTAAAATACATGAAAAAGAACGAGGCAAGAGTTCGATAGTGGAGCACGATAGACGTTAAGTAAAGTACTCGTCCGAAAGCTGTGATTCTTTTCAAGATCAATCAGCACCAGTGGTAATGCCACGCGGAAAAAGAGAAACGTAGAAGATGTGGATACTCTACGAGCATTCGGTTTAATGAAAATAGTACGCATTTATTTATACGACATGTTCCTAAACAGACCGATTTCCGTGAACCCAGGTGGTAACATTAACCAAACTTTTTTTTGCTCATGAACGTCATGAAAGTCCGTGAACGACGATTTATCTAAGGTGAATATTGCATCGATATTCCCGATCGCTCGCGGAACAACGGATAAGAGCAGAAATTGACCAATGAACCAGAGAAATACCTCACTGATCTTCGAAATTACTGAGGACAGCAATACAACACACCAATATGGCTGATGGTTTTTTTGGGAATAGAGCGCATGCGAGGATCATTGGTACACCTGAAGAAATCAAAAGTTACTAGAGAAACACCATCGTTCTTCTATCAATCAGCTGAAGAAAATTTGTTCTTTGATTTTTTTCTACAGTTTTATTTTATAAATTACATTACGGCACGACCGCTATGCTAGAAGCAGATGTACATTTTTAAAATCGATGATTTTATTTTTATTTACGGATAAATTAAACCTTAATTATGATATAAAAATCTACCCTTTTGAAACAATTATGGGAGTACATGTTTTACACGCATTTAAAAACTATAAAAGAGTAATGTCTTCGTACAGAAGGCTCTAAGATCGATTTCTAGAATGAAACGTAATGTATCTGAGCTTTTGTAATCTTGTGAAACCTATTGCACACAAACTTTGAGCTACATCAACTTTACAGTTTCATAAATATATTTTTATATTGTTATATAAAGTTACATTGATGTTTGAGGAAACTATTCTATATATATTTAAAGAAATGTTAAAGCAATAAATAAGATAAGAGAAAATAACATAGAACTTTGAAATTAAACGAAATAATGAGGCTTTTTAACAATAATGCCATATTCTGCTACTGCTGGTGTCAGATCTTCCATGGTCAATGTGTATCGTCTATCTTTTCCTTTTGTTTTTGTATTTTGATTAGCTCCACGTGTCTTGCAATGCTGCAGAGCATCGTTTGCTATTTCAGATATGAATTTTTGTGCTGTCAAAGAAACCAGACGTACTCTAAAATCAATGAAAACATTGTTATGAAAGAAATGCAGGATTCTAACAATTTCTTGATACTTTCTGAAATCTGTTTCTCATAGATTGCTTACATTCTTGGATCTGTTGTGTTGAAGCCAGCTGTATGTAAATAATGTTCACTAATTGCATCAGGTACCTGCATAAAAGGTCGTTTAAACATCGAAATAGTAGGTAAATAACAATGATTGTAACTTTTTATTTCACTACCGTGGGTGTGTAATCTTCAAGTTGCAGCAAAAAATCTGAAAGTGGTTGACCAGCTGTCTTTGTCTCTTCATTTGCTGTATACGTCGGTGGTGTTTCTCTTCCAAAATCTTCCGCCATTTTAGGTAACCTTTCTCACGAAAATATTAAAACCTTATATAAAAAATATTTAATTTACAATTCGTCGTCCGATGACCCTTCAAAATTTTGAAATTTAAATGACTTGTCACTGACAAGTTCTAACCTCAAAGCACTGTAGTTTTTTTAACAAATATACACAATTTTCTTGAGCATCAACAATGATAATTTTTTAGGAATGCTTGCAATTATTCGTTTAAAACGAATTAAAAGAATAATAACTGCGTCAACATATAAATAATAATATAGAAAAGACTGTGTACATAAAAACGTTTATTTAAAGCTGTTAGTACAGCTGCTGTACACTATACTAGCTAATACCAGCAGGGCCAGCAGGTAATGTAGGTACCAGTCTGGTAACCAGACTCTGGTTAGGTCTGGGTGGTACTACCAAATAATAATAGCTGAAGATTGGAGACCTCAACAAAATGCTAGGTGCAATTACCTTTTTCCTGGGGAATATATTATTCATTACGGTAGAGGTTGTCGCTACAAACTCACGAATCACCGCGGGATATTTAAAATAACACCAATATAAAAATTAATATTATAATTGTATACCTACAACCGAAATGGAACCATAAATACTTTTATGGTAACCTTCCCGTTCTTGTCCATTAATAAACACTTATTAAGCATTTAATTACTTAGTTTTAATTATGTCATAAACGAACCTGTGATTACATATTTCGTTTAATTTAGGGGTGCTGTAAAAATACAGATGCCATAAACTATTGTAAAGACACCAAGGGCGTATAAACCAAGTAAATTTTGGAACCTCTGCATTAAGAATTATATCCATCAATTGCTCGTGTCTCAACAGTGTCAAAAGATTTATTACTTTTTCTATCGTGTAATTTCAATTTTTTATGCATAATATAGCTAATATATACACAACAACTAAATACAACTAACGATGCAAATTTTCCTTTCTTTTAGTATTTTTCATAAATATTTATCGTACAAAAACGTCATCAATTTAATAGTTCGATTACATTTCTACATTTTCATTAAAAACGTTTAAAAATGCATGGAACCAACATTTAACAAAAATGAATAGTTTCAATGATTGTAAACATTTTTTTTAATACCAGCCGAAATATATTAGAAAATGAATTGTCTACATAGAAATGTTTATAATACAAATAACTTATGCTGCTTGCAGCGGGTTTTTAAATGGTAACGGCGGAAGCCAAGAGTCGTTCTTCAAACTATCGAACTTTGCTTTATTTAGAACGATGCTTTGTGAAATTTGCTCAGCTGTGTGCGTCTGTCCGTAATAATCTACAAATAAACCATCTGGGTCTACCAAATATATGATGATAGTGTGATCAACCTAAAATAAAATGGAGCTATAAGTATTTACATAAATGTAAATGACAAAATTTTAATTGTGTAAAAATATGTTACTAACAATGTAGTCAGCATCTTGATCCTTAGGCCCATTACTGTAATATACCCTATAGGCTTTGCATGCTTGAGCAATTTGTTCGTTTGTCCCAGTAAGACCAATAAATTTATCAGAAAATTCTTTTATATATTTTCCCACAATTTCTGGGGTATCCCTATCAGGATCCACAGAAATGAATATAGGTTGAACTTTTAAACTGTAATCCTTCTCTAAAATAATAATTCAAAAGGAGATAATGTAGTTTGCTTTAAAGCATTATTAAAGCCTGGACAGATTAAAAAGAACAAATATTCAACCTTTATACTATATACTCAGATTATTATTTGTGGTATACCTAAAATATTGACGATCGAAACCAGTTTTTCAAGTTCATCTGGACATACATCAGGACAATGTGTGAATCCAAAATAAATCAGGATCCATTGTCCTAAAAAGTCATCCGACTTGACTAACTTTCTTTCAGTATTTAGTAATTCAAATTTTCCTCCAATTGCTGCTTTTCCTATTTCACGTCTCCTTTCACGTTGTATTTGTAAGTCTTTTGTTTTTTGTAAGTAATACAAAAATAATGCAAGAGATCCTCCAAACACACTTGTAATTATTAAGCTTCTCCATGTAATGGGTGACTTTAACATCAGGTAAGGGGCTTTCTTACGCTTTGGTAATGCATGTAGGCGATCATTTTTATATAATGTCCTGCAAGTGTTTAAGTACCGAACTTGCGAATAATACTGTTCGAGGGTTCGTAAACTCTGTAATGACGTCTGTGAACAATTTTAAATAAAACTATTGAGTCAAAGTGTTATTTATTCGAGGATTATTAAATTAGTGAAGTTACTGGCTCAGTGCTGATTCTTCATTAATAAAAAAATAAATACATCTTATGTATGATCATTTAAAAAAAACTCACATTCTTAAAAACCTGATTTGAATACCGATTTAACAGCTGGAACGACTTGATGGTTAAACTTGACATTATTTTTAGTGACCGATTTCAACCAATTTAAAACTAAATGCAGGTTATGGTTCGACCGTTTCTAAGCATGTGCGTTTTCTGAGCGCGCTATTTGAAAAGTGAAAACATCACGCTTGTTACGTAATCGTAAACTACGATTCGTAGTACATATTTGGCCAGAGTTGGTCATTAATCGAATAACAACTTGAACAAATTTTCCTTTGCTTTAGGTGAGTTTACTACAGTGGTAAATGAAAATAAACACTCTACTAGAACAGAAGATATATTTTAAAAATATGTTTGTAAAATATAGTAGTGTAAATAGTATATAGCTTATAACAGGAGTGAAAAATTTCATTATCGAAAATTACACCGGTCCCATTGCTAGCGGACCGATTCTCCCACCATCAGATGCCACAATATCTAAGTAATTGACCTAATTTATGGTTAGGTAGGCAATGGGTTTAGTGTGGCCTGATTTGGCATAATTGAGTGCATCGACGGTGACACTAGTAACGACGAACTTCCTTAGCGTTTAACGGAGAGGTAGGGAAAGCCGACATATTCTACCGCACGCAACTCAGGAAATCGATAAAGAACGTGAATGGGAGCCTTTCCTTCTTGCTCTTGAACAGCTGAAGTTCGTCCTCGCGTCAATGGTACACAATTTCGAATCTTGACTGCCCAGGCATTTTACGTTTCGAGCTGTATAGGAACATACATATAAGCAAAGTCCATAATGAAAAAAAAATTTACACGGAAATACACGTTTTAAGACCCCTTGATCATCTTTTCACTATTGAAAAAAAAGAAATTATTTTTATTATTCCTATAAATGAGCATATATATGTAAATATACAAATTTAATAAAAATGAAAAACGAATTTTTAAGAAAAATCGACAGGGGGTAGGTGCCTAAATTTTGCGGCGAAATTGAGAAGTTTCAAATCATTCTGGAAAAATTATTTTCGATTGTAGGGGTCAATTACAGTCATTTTTGGTGAATAGACATACCCCAAAAAATCCTGCGCACTTTCGAGAAAAAAATTCTTTTTAATTATTTTTAATTATTATGTAATTTCATTTTCTGTCTCACTTCCTCTTGTATTCATTTCTGCAACCTGTCGGTAATGTTGCGAGTGACACGAAAATGGTAATGGGGCTTTGGAGTTCCAGAAAATTGGCCAAAAAAATGCATTGGCTGTAAGATCTACTCGTATACCTCGTCTGTGATGCAACGTATAGTTGTTTCATTCGTTTGTGGTACAGCTTTTATTCCGTTGAAAAACACAAGAATTTCTGTAATTTCATTTCCTACCGTAGTAAGCGCTACGATCTTTTTCTGTAGTCTGTTGGTAACGTTGTGAGTGACACAGAAATGATAATGGAACTTTATAAAATTAATTATAAAAAATTCAAAATTACGAAGCCATTAAATGTTATGTCTACTTGTATACCTCGTCTGTGCTTTCACCTTATGGACTTTCGTGGCCGAATCTGACTGCCATACCGACCTGAAAATTCGGAGCTGATTTTAGCGGCCTCTTCTCATGGATGGCGGTCAGTTGAGAAACTCACTGAATTAGTGTAATAGGCAGCAGACTAGTTGCGTGTATATGCATACGAGTTGAAAAGTACGAATTATTCGCGTTTCCTTGACTAGTTAAAGTTGTAAATAATTTGCTAAAATCAGTCTATCCGCGGTTTCTATCCGAGGCATCCCTCGGGTTCGTAATACAAGCTTCGCGAGAAGTCGGAGCTTCCCCCACCCCGCCGCCTAATTCACGAGCGTTGCCGAGCACAGCGGACGGCCATCATTCATACTTTGAAAATAAACATAGCAAGACGTGTCAAGACGTATCGGCGTTTCGCGGCCGAGGTGCGTATTTCTAACCTGTTTATCCTTCCACTATTACTACTCGCGTATTACTACTTACAATCTCTTGCAATACGGTTTCGATTTAATCATTACTTAATTGTAATAATCGTTTGCGTACTTTAATGCATCGTTATTTTGTTTCTGTTACAGTCTCTTATTGGAATTCGAAACTAAGAAATAATAAGACTTGTTGGAACTTGTCAAGACGTGTCGGCGTTTCGTGACCAACGAGGTACATACGTGTTTCTGACCTTTTAATATTTCTTCATTATTATCAATTATTGTTTAATTATGATTTAATTTGTTCATTTCTGTTGCAGTCTCGGATTGAAATTCGACGCCATGGAAAGTTTCATTGGCGCGTAAACGACACCATAACAGATGGCAGACGAGTCGACAAATTTTGGAGGGAATATTGGTAACTTCTAAACAATTATAACAAAAATTAATATCCATATCAATATTTATATATTTTTATCTCTATGTTACGTTATTCGTTGCAAGCATGATCATAATTTTGTAATTGGCCATTGTTAAGATAAATTATGAAAATCTTTGACAAACTTTTTAACTACTTCGATATATGTATATCGAAGTATACAAAAATGGCGTCGGTAGATATCGACGATAAATTGGAATAGTTTATATTTAACTGTATTCTGATCGCGATTGAATATTTCCGAGCGTTATTTATTTAATTGATCGTTTATATTTCTTTATGAATTGTTGTAATTACAATTTCTATACATATTTCGATACAAGTTTCAAAAAACGTAGTAACTGCGGAGTTGGATTGCTTTATTCAAGCATAAATAACCAACAAACTTTAATTCTTGCAAATTTCGGAATATTTATAAAAATTACGGGATATTCTAGCATTCGATAAAGTAAACTTAATCATGCTTACAACTCTAACTATGAAACTTGGTGATATAATATTTATAAATTGAATAATTACTTATACGTAATTATTTTCATGTATAATATTTTATCGTTGAATTGATTGAGAATATTTCGCCTTCGTGGCATTGAATTTTCACGTGGCAAACTATGTATACAACAGTACTAAGTAAAGCAGTATTTCTATTGACGAACACTAGTAAGAAGAAGAAAAACGAAAACCAGTAGGCAAAGCACAGGTGTGCTTGTTGTGTTTCTTATCTCCTGTCCCTTTCTTTTCAGCTCTTTTCTTTCCAGGAAATTTGTTGGCCGCGCGCAATGCGGCCGGTAGATTCAGTGATTGTGCGTAGCAACAAGTTTGTTTCTCGGGGTAAAGTGACCCCGAGTCGTTTACGTGTTAGGCAAACGCGATAATAGAATCAGTGTTTCTTACGTAGTTTAAAATTATTTCCAGAGCATCGTGGCTCTCCTTGTTTTCTGAATCGCGAGAATAGAGTCATTTGTTCGCCGATTTGAATCTTCGGTCGCGGTAATCTAATTTAATACTTTCCAATCAAACTAATTATTTTTTCAATTTGAAATTTAAACTCCTCGTTACCGGAATTAGAGTCAGTGCATCACCGAAGAGGATTATTGGGCGATGCTCCACGAACACACAATGTAATTATAAATTTATACTTTGAAATTTTTAATTAAAAATCTCTGTAGTTTCAACAATAGATTCTAATTGTTTTTTTACAGTTTTCTTACAGTCTCCGAACGTGATCCTGGAAACCAGCAGCAGTACCCGGGGGGTATCGGGCGGTGGACCACGAGCGAACAACGTAAGTATAAATTTATACTTTGAAATTTGTTAATTAAAAATCTCTATAATTTTAACAATAGATTATAATTGCTTTCTTATTCTTTATAGCAGGAGCATTCAGGGAGCTTTGATGACTTCCACTGGGCAGCAGCAGCATCATTATGCAGTCATCCCAGAGGGACAAGTTCATCATTCGTGAGTCGTATGCTATTTGTGTTCCTCTGGTCCCCAACCATGTTGTAGGATGAAATATCCGAATCAACACGGGTGACCAGTTGTATACTTGGTATTTTTGACGAGTTAAGTGACCGCGGGTATGAAAAATACCCATGAGTTATATTTTTTTAGTGCAGGCTAGGGTCTTCTTGCACTCGCGTTTTTTAATGTTATCAATATGATTACACAATATGATTATTACACAATTTTGATAAAATATATGAAATATGTTTATTGACTTTATATGAATTAAATAATTGAGTAGAATATGAATTAATATAATGTGAAAACATTATATTAATCGTATGATTGAGTAAAATATCTTACATCATTAATATAATTATTAAATATTTGTTTTATTAATTAATACATCATATGATGTATTTTACGTGCAAGAAGGCGTTTCGCGACTGGTCGATTTTCAACTCAAAGGAACATGCATATTAATTTTATTTTTTTTTAAATTTACTTTGACGACAGAATCGGCCAAGGTTAATTGAATATTTTGAATAATAATTTAACAAATTTATTTCAATTTGCAAAGTAAATTATTTTATCATGAAATCTTTATTAAAGTCTTACATTTTGTACAATTAAATTTCAGTCACAAATTTTTCTTGAATAATAATATCTTTCGATATTAACGTACTCTGTTGTTAATATATTACATATAACAAGTCGAGTCATTTTAACTGAGAATAGATACCGTTTAGTTAATTATTAATAACCAGTTGTTCTAGTCAGGATTTTCAGGATACTTTTCCGTGTTCGTTGCCTAAGTTCATGCACATGCCCAAGTGTTATTTGCACGAGCGAAGGCAACGGGGCACGATGACTTAGTTTGTAACATTTATAATAATAATTTATCCTTGCGACTGACAATGCTAGTGTATCGTGCACGATGTACTGTCCACATATGTGTGTTTGTGGTTAGGATGTGGAAGTGCATCGTTTCAAAAGTTTATTACAATTCAGATACAGAATTTTTTCACATTAGATTCATACCAGTCACAATAATAATATTAAAGTTATAGTTATTATTTACTTGGCAATTGTTCGTATTGCATACGCGTCAATAATATTGTAAAATGCATAATGAATTAGCTTTTCAATCTTATATAATCATATATAGAGTATATTTTAATAAAGACTATATTAGATATATTAAAATGTTTTACATAAATAATAAAAGTACGCAATGGGCACTAGCTTTGTCAGTCCACTGCAAAAACTGGTACGTACACAATTAGAGTATGAATGAGGTTGTGTCCGGGTGTCGGAGGAAC